GGGGGGGAGGGGTTTTTGTTTGGGGGAAAAGGGCAGGAAACTTTTTTTTTCCGGGAAGGATGGGGGAGGGTGCAAAATTTTTTGTCGCCAGGAGGGTTTTTGGGGGAAATGGAGGGAAAAAAAGGGGGGTTATCCCGGGCCCCTGGGGGGGCATCCCTTTTTGTTTACCGCAGTTTGGAGGATTTTTTTGGAAAAGGGTTTTTCGGGAATTTCCCCCCGAAAATTTTTGAAAATTTTGAAAGGGCAGAAATGGTTTCCGGGGGGCATTACCCTTCAAATGGCCCCAAAAAAAAAAAGGGGGGGGAAAAAAAAGGCAGGGGTTTTCCCCCCCCCCGGTTGAAAAAGGAAAAGGACACCGGGGGTTTTTTTTTGGGCGCCAGGGTGGTTTTTTTTTTTTTTTGAAAGAAAAATTTTTTATTTTTAAAGGGATTACAACAAGGGGGGGGGGCCCCCCCAGGGGGAAACCGGGGAACCCCCCACCCCCCCCCCCCCCCCCCGGACCAAGATTGCAGCGCAATATAGGGGGTTTAGGCGGCACGCTTGCAGCAGTTTTTGTATAGGATTTAGTGTGTCCATAATAAACCGATATTCTCTTCATTGAACAGACTTTCGTGCCGCATTAAAACCCATAAAATTCTCTTCATTTGTAGGCTTCGTGTCGTCATACTTATTCCTACACCATACTCTAGACCTCGCGACCAAGATTGACGCGTTTTCTTGGGGTGTTCCCATGATTTCCACTAGCTCTCTGTGTGGGATCCCGCGCGCGCGCGCTGAAAAAAGCGCCCGAAAATGTCGAAACCCCGGGGATTTTGTCAAAATATTCCCGACCGGGGACATATAAGGACCCCCCCCCCCCGCGACCAAGATTACAGCGTAGCCCAGGGGTGTTCCGACGTTTCCAGATGGAGGGCCCCTTGAGTACAGAGTGATTCGTTGTAGGAGTGGCCCCTTACCTGGCGCATTGACGTGTCTGCTGACGTTGGGTGCGTACCACTGTAGCCTTTACCCAAAATAGCGATCGCTCGTGTTTCAATTCTCCTCCGTTGTTGTTGGCAGGTCCAGAAGCACCAACGGTCGCATAAGCGAGAGGCCACCAAGAGCGCCCCCTACAAGCGCACGACTCCGGAAGACCATCAAGCAATGGAAGGGGCGGGTGTAGAGGGGTACCGTCCGACCGACTGGAACCAAGAGGAGACACGCAAACTGGACGAACTAGTCAACCAACTCGGTAAGTGACTGGAGCGAGTTCCCAGCAGCGTGGTCTCTAGCTTTGTCTTGAAGCCTTTGGCAATTGTTAATGTCGTGTGTCGATGTCTCGTGCACTGTCCTCAACTCGGCAATGTATTGTAAAAGTACATGTTGCATTCGGCTAGCTCGATTCAATCTATACGTACGATCTCAGTGTCTTCTCGCAAATCGTGACTTCTCTACACACCACTTCCTGGCAATCTCGAATCAGCGCGCCAACCCCGGTATACTAACTTGTGGTCGCTGCCCACGTTCTGTTGTCAACTTTTTCATGGTTGTAGTGGCCCCCGTGACACACGCATGGCCGAGCATCGCGCGCTACTTCCCGACAAAGGTGAGGGTTATAGGTCGTTTTTTTTTTTCACGTGTGTATGACTCCTCAGATTCGGAAGCTACGGGATTAAGAGGGCGACCAAACGGTACGGTACGAAAGTCACACATAGGCGCCGAACAGGCATCTCGTGGGGTGTATAGACCAAGGCATAGTCTCAAGGTTGAGATTCCGTGCCCCTTCCCAGGGTAAAGCGGCTCCTGTCCTTGTCACAAGTGCAGACTTAATTCTTACTTTTCGTACGCTCTGTACACGGTGTGGGGTCTTGTGGAGCAGACTGGAATCCAGTGCCTACTCCACTGGCGCTTCACGCTGAACGACAACGGCATCATTCGGGGCAACGGGACCTGGGGAGCCGAGGAAGACGAGCGTCTGCGAAAGCTGGCACCCGTCTTCTCTTCGCCTTCAACCGGACCTCGGTACGTGAATTTTTGGGCTCCGTTCTTTCTGAAAGATTCATGGCAGGAGTGGGCAGAGTCTACAACCACGTGCGCGTCGGTTCATGCTTGGGATTGACGTCAGCCACTCTGTTCCCGCAACATCAAGCTAAATTGTCGTGCTGCACATGAACAGCTGTGCAGCGCTGTTCGTGTACGCTAGTTGACGTGCTCGTCCATGGACAGGAATTTGCTTTGTAGGAGACAGGTTGTGCAGCAATCAACCATCGGTGCTGATTTTTTTTGTTTTTTGTATGTTTGCGTCGTCGGCAGCTGGGCCAAGATCGCGGAGGTGATGCCGGGGAGAACGGCCAAACAGTGCCGTGAGCGATACAACAACCACGTAGACCCGGGCATCAAGAAGGACAAGATTTGGACGGCCGAGGAGGATGCCCTGGTGATGCAGTTGCATGCCGAACACCACAACCAGTTCGCGAAGATAGCGAGGAACATTCCCGGCCGGTGCTACGACGACGTCAAGAACAGGCGAGTCAGTCCGGTACAATCGAGTGTTGGTGCTATTTCTCTGCGCAGCCATCGACTTTCTTACTTTCGTTGTTCGGGGACGGCCTGTGGGGCGGTGTTGTTGGGGGCTACGTGGTGTACATAGGTGGTGCTACTTTGTTTTCTCGGCCTGCTGGATAGACTGGATAGAGACGCCCTTCCGCGATGGCGCCTCGAGTCTGAGCTTTGGTCAGTCTTTCGCACTGCTGAGCCACTTGTCATAAGTCGGCCAATCAATCACCAATCACCAATCACCATTCCTTACGTGTCAGAAGTTCACCAATGCTGGTTTGTATCATGCTTAACGTGATGTTGACGCTATGGACACTGCTGTCTTGACAGTCTCCGTCATGCGTCTCCCGTTCGCGTGTACTTGCATCAGGTTCAATCTGCTTGTGAAGCGCCGACAGGTGGCTGTCAAGGCTGCGGAGTCGGGGCTTTCGAACGCAGGGAACAAGTCCCTCAGGTGAATTGTCGCGTGATCCCCTCCCCCGACCTTTGCTCGGTCCGTTCCGTAACCGCTGCGGCAGTCTTACTCTGGTTTAGACTATAGCAATTCCCCGTCCGTCAAGCGAACGCTAACACCTACTTGCTGGTTTGTATTGGACCACGTGAGGGAGCGGATCAAGGCGTATCCAACATGTTCAGGTTTTGACCTGGATAGTGCCACCACCTTGCTGACATACACGCGCGTTCGTTTCAGAACCATGCATACATGCATGCGCGCGTTTGTTGATTGTTTTTATTTCGAACAATCTCGCCAACCTGGGCTCGTTTCTTCTCCTGGATGTCGCAACCTGTGTTTGAACACCAATGCTTGCGTTCGGGCGACAGGCCTACGGTGGAACGCCCGGGTGGTGCGTCGGAACGCCGGTCGCCGCCTCCGTTCGACGGTACCGCAACCGCTGGACTCTTTCAAAAGTCGGGCTTCGGCGAACAATCGCTCGGGGTCAAAAGATCCACGCCCGGAATGCCGGGGCGGTGAAGGTCAGGACAGGACAGGACAGACCGGGCCGGGCCACCATTGTTAGTAGGTTTGGTAATTGAAAATAGCGTCGGGGTTTGTGTGGGAACGAGCGCGGGAGAAACGTGCCTCATCGTTGTACAGGCTGAAGAAACGACAGACAGGTTGTTTCAGCCCGAAAAGTGTCTGTAGTTGTTGATACGATAACGCGAGTGTGTTGCCGTTGTCTTGAAACGCGCCGCTCATTTACGAGGCCGTCAGACCGCCCATGCGAGGTGTGCGTGTGTTGGCCTTTTGTTGGCTGTTGGCTCTCTCCTTTTGTTTTGTCGTTCGCTTGTTGTGTGTAGGTTGGGGTTTTTTGTTTTGTTTTTGGTCCACTGCCGTAAGGAGCACGCTGTCCGAATGGGGTCGGTCGATGCAAGCCGGGTACACAGCGGTACAAAATACCATTTATTGTCTTCCTTATCGGCACACTGCCCTACGGTGTGCTTGCTGAGTTTTTTTTTTGTTGTTGTCAGTCCATTGCCCTAAGGCTCAGACGGCTACTGGGAGCGATGTCGGCTTTAGTATCGAATTTCCCCCCCTTGCATGCTTGCATCTGTTTTTGCAAAGAGAGAAGACCACCGCCTGGTTTAACCTGGCCAGCGGAACGTTTTTTTCTCGAAATGTATTTGTCAAGGCGTTGTGGTTGGTGTGTATGCACCGCCGTTGTGTGTTGCTGCGTCTTGTTGCATGTGACGGTAAGTATTGACGTTGTGCGGGGTGAAAAGGTGACGTAAGCTGCCCCCGCGCTAGATAGTGGTGCCCTTGTTTGAATTGAAGTTGATGGTGAGATTGGTGGTGGGTGACAGGTCACGTACATTAGTCTTGACTTGGCTTGGCTCCAGGAAACAATGGGCTATTTCTGGGCGCGTGTTGAACTCGGCCGAAAGTTTGTGTGGGAAAGGAGCAATAGACGGGTTTGAATCGATCGCCTCACTCGGAAAATGTCATGTCTTATGTTTGTGAGGAGTGAAATAGTGATTTTCGAGCCCCGTAGTGTGGCTTTTGAGAGAGATTTCGCAGGTAGACAGGAGGTTGTCCGTTGGACGGCTGCATTTTTTTACTTTTATTTTACGGGTGGCAAGGACCAGAAACGTATACTAGCGAGGGAATTGCGAGCGCGAGTGTTTTCTGGGAAGAACAGAGCAGCAAAAGTTGAGGTAGTAAAGGGAGGAAGATGATCGTGTTGCCAACAAGCAGCTGTTGGCTGGATGCAAGACAGCAGTGGTGTGCCGTCATTTCGTGGAGTCCCACTTGCTGTGAGGAGTATTGGATGCGGCGAATGGTGGGAGACGAGGGTACTCTAGCGGGTGTGATCCGTGAAAAATATTGTGCACTTGCATGCGTACGCATAGTGAATTGATCAAGCGTTGTCTGTAACCGCGACACCCGAACGCAAACACAGCCGATGCTGTCTCTAAGGTAACCGCTATATATTTTGGACTACTAAGCTTGCTTATGCTTCTCGAGCAGCTCAAGGACTAGAGCCTTGGACAGCCCCATGACGGAATCCATGGAGCCGTCAATTCTGGCGATGAAGGGCTCAACCAAAGGGTGTTCCACCATTAAGCCACCAGCGCACTGAAGCACTGTGCCCTCGCCACACAACTTGGTCACCACGCTTTCCGGCACCTTTGGACATAGTTTCGGCGGGAAGGAACGGAGCACGAACACGATTAGCAGCGATTGGGTGTATTATTCAGTATCACCTTCGGCGTCGCGGGACAAGGGCTGAGAGGTTATTATAGCATCAGGAAACGTAGTAATAGATGACCAGGCTTCTTTGTTGCGTTAATTCATTCCCAGTTTTTTTGTTTTTGCCCAGTATTATTTATCTCCGCACGGGGGGCTCTTGGTTATTTGTTGCCCCTGAAGGGGTGCTGTCTGTCGGCTTGTTTGCTTGCCTGCTTGCTTGCTTGCTTGCTTGCTTGCTTGCTTGCTTGCTTGCTTGCTTGCTTGCTTGCTTCGGATTTTACTTCTTGGGTTGTTATCTCGTCAAGTACTACACTTTGTCTAACTTCCATGCAAGTAGCATCGCACAGACCGTCCCGTGTTACTTGACCGCTCCTACACACCCTAAGCTCTGTCGGTTGCATTGGGGGGCGGTTTGTCTGATTGGTGAGAAGCCGACGGTACGTCGTGTCTTGTCGCGTGATGTGCGTGGTTTACTTTCGTGTCGTTTTTACGTTTTTACTCGTGAAGATCTTGGCACACCTGGGCGAGCCGTGGAGAGGGTTGGCCTGGTGGTAAGCCCAACGGTGAAGTGCTCCCCGACTCCCGTAGGCGTACGAGGACGGTTCAGGTGTTTTTTTTTTTTCTAGTGTGCTATTTTATGTATACATTTGGGGTTGTATTCGGCTTCCGAGGTTCGGGCCCGCGGCTTAATGCTAATTAGTATTAAAAAAATAAAAATAACTCAGATAGGCGACGCTGACGATGATCGTCGGCGTCGATAATACTGTAATCGCAATTGAAGCAGAGCTCTATATTTGGAGTTTTCTTGCATTCGTCACCTTCTGTCCGGAGCACCGATGATGATGTAGGAATATCTCGGGGGGCTTATTCTCTCGCAAATGTGTTTCATTTGTACCTTATTTGTGGCTTGGCTTGTGCTCAGGAAACTATATTGTCTACTTTTGAAGAAGTAAATAGGAACAGGAGACGTACATCAGACATCAGACGACGTTTGAAATGGGGATGGGTGATCCCTCCGTCGCTCGCGTCATGGGCGGAGGACCTCCGGAAGTGGCAAACCAGGCTTTGCTGCGACGGGTTGCCGAGACCCTGATGTAAATGCCGTGCGCACAGACCCTGGGCGATCATCGACTGCCGAAAGGGATTCACCTGGTATTACTGCATACGCCAAGACTAACAACAATGTTCTCCGTACAAGTAGGTGCTGGGACGTGCGGTTCACAAACGAGTTATCCCGGTAGGTGGGGATGATACACACGACCACCGTCTTACCTCCTTGAAAAATATTTCGGCAGTATCAACCCCCGAAAACTGCTGCCCGGTTGAGATGTCCGTTAAAACTGCAGACCCGACTGTCCGACACGGCGATCGCTGGGGGTTTGGGACGAAACGGTCAAGACAGGGTCAGTGTCGATCACATGCAACAAATACCTTCCCGCACAGGAATCGGCATGGAATAAAAGAGGGGCAGGTCTCTTTCTTTTTGGAAACTGAAATATGGCGGTGTTGGAATTGTAGCGTCCTCGCTACTCTTCGCAACGATCTTTTGTGGCACGTTGAGTCAGACATCCGCGGGTTTCTTCCTAGTTCATTCGCACAACCAACACAAACTGTCGTATAGTAATCGAGGAATATACACGTCGTGCTATTTCCCCGAAAACAGATCTTGAGTTGGTCCACACAAAAGGTGAATATCCATTTCTTGGCTCCCACTTGAAAGAAGGACCCGGCAAGCACGCCACCAGGGCTGTACTGTGTTGCCCTGAGAAAGCCCGCACGACCTGCCTGGGTTATTTTCCCGACTCAGTGCAAAGCTTGGGTCTACGAGGAACAAGAAATGAATCAATTCACGCCGTGAGGAAGCATCAACCAAAATTTTCAACATGGACCGAATAAGAACCACGTGCGGCCAACTTCACAAAGCTGTTGGGGGGGCGTTGTTGCTGCGAGCGTACTTTACCACGCTCTCTCTCTGGCCGCGTTCTTCCCTTCGAAGTCTCTACAATGGTACGAGAGAGGCACGCGCGCTTAACAGACAAATCAATGTACTTAGGTGCCACCGCCTGGTAGTAGGATGCGCTCGGTGGTTTGCTACCGTCTTGTCGTATCTGTCCTGAGTAACGTCGAAAGCGGTTGCCGCCGTATACCGGGTCCCGGTAGTGCGCGCGTCAATTTCAGCCGCCATACGTACATACATGTATCGGGCAACCGCCTTACTCAGACGGCCTTGTGTCGGGTGCCGCACTGCACTGACTGGCGCGAACACCATCTACACACCGTTACCATTACCGTTACCGGTGGTGGTGGTACATCACTTGTGCGTACACAATGTTCGTTGTATGACCGTGACCACACGCGATCCCCAACGGCAGCCCCCTCCAAAGACAAACTTACCGCGTAACTGGCGATGTTCCTTCGCACTTCATCTTCGTCCGCGGGCTTCTCTAGGATCCGGCCGTCGTGGACGACAACTGCCAAAAACGCGCGGGCGCGGCGAAAAGCAGAAGACGGTATGGTAAGAATTCCCCGCGGGTGACAAAAGCCAGAGCACATCTTGGTGGGAGATTGTGTCGACGTAGATATCGTCGAGCTCGAGATCGGCTTCTGAGGTCTACTACTGTATTCCAAGGTGCCATGACCTTTGGGAGTATTCGCACACCGGTACGTACGGTCGTTTCTTCAACCACGTCGTTCTGGCGGTTGTAACGCACCGCCTGCTGCGCGACAACTCCGATACTTCCGAAAAATGACGAAACATCAGCCGTCGATGGTGGTTGCATTGCCCCTGTGTCGTTCCCTAGCGAATGCCGTAGCTAGTGCGATTGTCACACCAATACCACAACACGTGTTTCGGTTTGAGTACATTCCTCTCACCTACATGTAATACAGAAATTTACTTGCAAGCATAAAGCAGTGGGAAACGCCGACGACCAATCCCGCAGTGATATGTATGCATAGTGCACCGGGGCAGCCCGTTTCAGGTACTGCTCGGGCGAAAGCGTGGAGCGCTTCGTGGCAGAAACGGTAGGACGTATGTACCTTGGTCTCCCGTCAGAAGCCATGAAGTGCTTAGCTCTCCACGGTCAGCCTCCGCTTTCAGTGCAGGGAGCAGCGCCTCCGCCTTAGCGAGCCCGAGTTGCAGCACGAGGTCAGCCGGATCTGCAGTGCGGTCGCCGATCGCTGCCTCATTGATGTCTGCAGACCTGCCGACCGCAGTTCATGAAGCAAGATTTCACTCAGCCAACGCCTGAACAACTTCAGAGTCAACGTCTCTTCCACAGAAAAGACGGGTATCATGCTATATACATATGTACTCACAGGATGTTGCACCACATTAGACTTGATTTTACAGTGGACCCACGTGGATGCGATTTTTCTTTCGCCACGCGATCCCACGCGACGTGCCACACGTGAATCTGCGAAGAAATTGCTCTTCCGTCTAATGAGGTGGTACCCGTGGAATAATTCAGCTGTTCCAGGCAGCAGTACGAACGTTAACAGCAATGTTGGATTGCGATGACGTGATGACCTTGCTGGTGACTTTACCAATGATTATGGTCCTGTTTCAAACTGTACAACCACATCCAATGCTTCGGCCGTTCCACCTGACCCTCTTCATTTATCCGACGTAGATACAGTACATGTGTCATCCACAACACCAAAATCCTATGCAGAGAGAAGTTAATAGCTGTAGACAACAAAGAGCGCATGTGTATGTCTGTTCCCACCAACTTCCCGGCTTCGGTTCGGTGTTGGAAACATTGCATCCGGCTTCCTTCGAACGTTGCACATACCGCATGCGCTTCTGCCGACACACACGCTTGAAGCAACATGCATCCTGCAACATCAACAACAACATCTATAGACATATGTGTAACCACTGCTATACACTACAAAAAACGAGACTCCTTGTGTTCACACATGAGCACCCTGTCAAGTTGTGCTATCCCACGTGTGTCTTGTGATCCACAGCAACGGCGGATATGACAAGCATATTCGTACAACAATCATAACAATCAAACATCATCATGATCTTCCGATCCAAGGGCATTCAAACTTCATTTGCAAAACGCAAAAAAGAAACACGGAATACCATCCGGTCGATTCAGAACAATCAATTCGTCATCTACGTGCGACGATACGCGTCCATAGCCGGAACGCTGCATGCAGTCGCCACCACCACGCGAACTACTGCATACTCTGGTGGAACCAGTCTTCTTGCGAACGCTGAGGTATGACACCTGAAACATTCTATGCGTTCGCAGCCATTGGTCGACACAATACGTTGGACTCTACAGTACGCTAACATTTTCGGATGGCGACGCGTCCACAAGACGACTGACTATCGCCTAAATAGACACAGACATGCGAACTGATGTCCCAACTTGTACACACAATTAACCCGATGAAAACTATCTGTTGTATGCATATAGTTGTCGTAAACGCCTTGACAACATTGTCGTATGATCCTCAACGCGGTGTATGTGCATCTATCTCCTTCCTGCATAAATCAATCAACGAAAAATGGGCGATTCTGTACAACAACCCTCGTCATCATCAGTATTTTTTACAGCGAGCGCCGAGTCTAAAGACCATTCGGGATTCGCCTCTCTTTGGATCGATAACTCTAACTCTTGCCTCCCCCACATCACGATTGTTTCCGGCTTTCAACCATTACATCAACTCGCGAACCCGGCAGCCTTACCACGCATGGCATGGTGACCGCCCGCCCTATTGGGGGGCGGGGGGCCTATCGTTCCCCCTAGTATATATTGAGTGTTTTTATTTTTCCTTAATTAATATTGAGGGCGCGTGATTCACTTGAAACTTGAACCGACGACACTTAGTCTACTTGCGGCGCAACATGCACCATGCCCGCCCGATGCCCGATGGATAAACGGACAAAGCACAACTGCAGCTATAGTCTAGACCCAAAGCAAGTAGATGATGTGCACTTTGTCTTAGAGAGGAGAGCGGGAAGGTGGCGATCCTCCATGTCTGTTTCAGCTCTCCGGCACGACGAAAGATGTTTCAGCTGCTTCGGACTTCGGACCACCACCAACAGCAGGCGGAGAGAGATGCATATACTGCTGTAGTCTAGCGATTGCCGTCCCCCCACAGCACCAAACTTACTCACCTTACAATTGGGACAAAGCCCATCTCCTCGATGATCATCTTCCTGGTGAAGGACTTCGAGCCCAGAATTATTTGACCCTGGTTGCTGCTGTGCCCAGGTGACGAAGTCATCGAACATGAACCGCCGCTGCTCGTAGTTCTGCCGCGCGCGGCGACGACACTCGGCCGCAGAAAGAAAGCACTCGTGTGCAGTGCTGGTGACCCCACGGCAACTACTAGTGAGACAAAGACCCGTCGTTGGAAATACATAAGCTGCGGAGAGCCTGATAAAGAGCTCGGATCCAGCGGCGGTGTGCGACGGCGAGGAGTGAGGAGTGCACCAAAGACCAAAGACACAACACCGAACAAGAGAGACATATTACCCGATGCCGTCGGTACGGGACTGTGACGGATTCCCGATTTTTTTTTTACGATATCTTAACACAAAGGGCAGGCTAACATGCACGCTGTACCTATCGATCACACGCGCGACGACATGCAGAAGAGTGTAGACGACCGCACGCTGTACGCTGCGAACATATTCAACGTTTCGCGAAAATATAGTTGACTGGCGCGGGACGCGTCGCTCATCAGTTTTGAGAAAGATGGAAGGCGACCGTGATGACGGCAGCTGTAACGGAAGCTTGCCAGGGTGGGATGGAGAGGAGCTGCAGTACACCGACGGTTGGGTGACAAATTGGGCAGGTGATTCGCCGAAAGACCCTGATAAAGAAGCGGGGGCTGCGGTCGGGACCATGATGGCTGACACCATGAGCGCCAAGGAGAAGCAGGCGCGGAGGTGCGGGTGATTAAACATGTACATACACAGCCTACTTTGAGCTCCGTCATAGAGCTTTATAGCGGATAGGTTTACTGCAGCATATTCAATCTTTGTATGGCCCTCCAGGACCCGGAAAGGTACTCAACAAAAAATAGCCTAATCACCGTCTCGGTTGAGCCTACACAGCGCTACAGTTAGCAGTGGTCCCGATATAATGGCGGTCGCATAATGCCGGTTGCCCTGTATAATGCCGGTGAAAAGTGGCAATACAATTAACTTGATTTCTGTGTGGATCATCTACTGTACTGTACACACCAACATAGAGCGAGCAGGGCTACCGCACTTATCGAGTGGCTTGGACCCGTCCGGCCCATCCATCGCGAGCTTGCCAGGGAAGGGGAGCGAGGAGATCCAACATATCCTGCGGAGGCGCGGAAGGAGAACCACGGCGAAGGAAGCGCGCAGCTGCCGCACATTCGCTCTCGCGTTGTTGTCCCGAACCCAACCCACAATGCCCAAACTCGGAACACAATCCCATAAATCCATTGGCTCATCTGATGGTCGGGTCCTCCTGAAAATCGGCAGGTCACGCCAATGGTGTGAGGCAACTGTTTCCTTCGTCTGTTTAGACACACGCATCGTTGTCACTTAGCCTATAGATGGATGGAATGCAACAAGGAGATATGCACATGCACATACACCTATTGTCTACGTGCTGACCGCCGACATCACCAACGGTACCATGCAGGAATTTCTACGCTAACTTCACTGAACGAGCACTCGCGAAATGTGGAGACTACAGCGAAGAGAAGAACCTCATCGAGCAGGTTGGACATTATACATTTATCAAATACAGAGCAGCACCAATCAAAGCACTTTGAGCCTTCTATTATACCCTACAACGAGATGGCAAGAAGAACCCTGTCTCTGTTCATATGAGTTGGTACTTTCGCACGTGTTCGAGCACTGGCGCGGAGGTGCGATCGCTTTCTAGTAATGCTGTTGCGGTATTATTACGCACACACCCGTGCGTAACTCCGTACCATGCGATGGTGAATAGCCAGTATGACAAGCTGTGCCTGAGACCAATTCTAGCAGCTTGGCTGTCGATGTACTGTAGCAGCTTAGTTGCCTGATCGTGTGACATGCAGCTACATAGCTCGTGGTGAAAGGCAAAGTACACTACGAGTTTGGTCTTGTCAGTGTGCAAAAGTTCAACACCGCGGGTACCTTCCAGCCTACGTCCTCTTGGTGATGAAGTAAGCCCCTTCGTTCCTTCGTCCGTTTCATCGTGCGCAGCGAGCACGTCGGACCTCTCGGCACATGTTTTGTGTGCCTGGTTGAGAAGATACCGCTTGCCCACTCAATGAACGCAACTTTCACTGGTAGGCGCACCCCAGCACCGCGCCAGCATTGAGATCGAGAACCCCGGCCCTACATCCCAGCCTAGTGGTGTCCACAAAAGGTGGAAATTGACGTCAGCAATGGCATGCACAAGACCTTGCAGTCGGGACACACTCGCAGAGGCAAATGGGGGCAAACTGTCCTCCGTTCTCGAAGAGAGTATGAAACGCGCTTGGCAGGTCGAAATGAGGTTCTGCTGGTGCACACCATGCTGTCTAAATCACATCAAACCAGCGTCGCGCTTGTTACTTGTTACCATGCGAACTCCCAGGATGATGTGGACCGGGTCGAGCACGAGCACATTCTCGCATGGCGTGCGTGGGTTGATCTGCGACACCGCGTGCCCAAGGCATCAGCGCGTTTGTTCTGCTGTCCGTGGGCTGGAGGAAACAGCCTCATGTTTGAACGCTGGTCAGAAGAACTGCCTGGAGTGGAAGTTGTGCCCCTTCTACTGCCGGGAAGACTCACGTAAGTACTCGGTCTTACGGCTGGTCTTGGCGGCCAGTGATGGGCACACGTTTCCAAGGACGCGCTCCTATCGCGAAATGCAGGAGTTCAGGAATGCAAGAGTCATGGTGAACTGATTGTTTCCGCAATGTGGGAAAAACGAGGAGTTAATGCGGTCTGTGTTTGGCGACCACAACATGAGACATTATGAGCCCAGCCAATGACGCCACCCTATTCCTCTCAGAAGAAGCTGTAGCTCGACACCAGAGACGGAAACAGAACACGTGACGGGACTGGCATAGGGAATCCTAAGCAGTCGCATTCATTGTACAAAAACATCCGACCGACATTCGTAAAACATACGTGGCTCAGTGATGAACAGGGATGCTTGTTTGCTCTTGGTTGTTGCTGTTGCTGCTGCTATCGTTCCACCCAGACGTGCGAGAGAGAATGCCGTGACAAACTTGTCGGATATCGTGACGATGGTGGTTGAGGCGATCTGCGGGCTTCATCTTCTAACACACGAGGACATCCCGTATTTAATATATGGGCACGACTTCGGAGCACTTGTGGCGTTCGAGATATGTCGGAGGGTGCAAGACGAGTTCCCCATGAAAGCCCTCATCGTATCAAGCATGAGCTGCCCTCAGGTGGATGGCCCTCTTTTATGACCTTAGTTGGACATTTTATCGCAGCGGTTTAGTACAGGCGACGCGTACGCATTTTTGTGGAAGCACTAAAGCAAATCCTGTCGAAGTACAGTAGTAACGAAGTAGAGAGGACTCTGAGTGGGGCCACAAAGGGACACAAGAACGCCAAAACGATCTTGGTCAGCCTTTTCCAAGTTCCGTAAGACTACAGGCTAGGCTACGCTCGAAAGTGTGGTGAAACGTTCTCTTGGGCGCGAAAAAATTGGCGTTGAACTGCTTCCGACACCCTCTCCCATTTCCTCCTGAACGTCAGTGCAGATGGTACACGGACGAGAGAAAATGACGTCGCTGTGCCAAGTTTCTCCGGAGGGCGAGATTCTACACGCAAAAAATGCCGAGGTAAGTCCGTCTACAATGATATACGTATGAGGTAATGGAATACCGTTGCCCCTGGGGAATATTCACGTTGGCGTTACTGCAGCGCCATTGAGGGTGCAACTTACGAGACGATGTTTGCCCAACGCCAACATGTTTGTGCTACATCTCGTTGGAATCGGCGCTGAGAATGAGGCGCGTACTATGTGAACAAACCTGACGTTTTGTACTTGAGGCACCGAAGACTGGTATGTATGTCTGTGTGCCTCTAATCGACAACACGAGCAAGTGCTTGACCTCGAAACTTGACACAGGCAGTCCCGCATCTCAAGAGATACACACCTCGTTATGTGTTACCCGTAGCATACCCATTACTTTTCTCACTATGTTACGACCTTCACAGCGTGGTGGCAAGTAGGCAAACGTCTTCGCATGCACCTGATACACGTTTGTTGTATCGGACAGTTTGAGAGTGCGATGCTTCGGAGAGGACCGCCGTTGCCGCCGGAACTGCTCGAGAACAAAGGCTTGATGGAGATATTCACGCCTCTGTGGTTTGCAGACTTGAGGTGAGCGACGCGCACGCAACGAGGTATTGTTATCGCTGTCCCAGCTATTTTGGTGTCTCGTGCATGCAACGACCCAGGTGTTTTCGTGATCCCCTGCAATTCATGGGAATATGGCACTCAAGTCAGTTTCTTCACCAACCCCCCGAAAACGCTCTCTTTCGACCCCACTTAGCGCTGTGGACACGTATGAATACAAGAGCGGCACGTTGCTTGAGTGCCCCATATACAGCCTGGGAGGTATCAAGGACGGGGAGCAGGACATGAGTAAGTGGGCCATGGAATCGTCCTCGGGCTCAAGTGAGACCACCATGTTTCCAGGGGGCTCTTTCTTCTTGCTGGATCGGGATAACGAGGTCGGCGCAGTTGAAACTGGGCTCATGTTTCCGTGTTATTTGGAAAAAGATGGTGGTCCTGGTTTGAGGTGCAGTGTTGGCAGGGTCCTCCGTCGGGAACAATTACAAAAATCAAATCGTCGGTCACTTGACAAGCCCTGTACTTGTGTGTACGTTGAGCAGCATGTCACAGACCCGCGTACGACAAAAACTGTTTCCGAGCAATTTGATGTGGACGGACACAGTGCCACTAAATCCGTTTCAGAGAAGCCCAGACATGGGCAATATGGAATTTTCATGTGGCGAAACGGTCTTGACCGGACCGGTCGCTGCGGCAGCTATCCGCCCACGAAACTTGCTCAAACTCGGCGTTCAACGGCAGCTGTTGCATCCTATAACCTGACTCTTTACGTTTCGGTCGTACATTCTTATAGGTCAAAATTCTGCGGCTCCTGAGAGATCTCTGCACACATGAAGGCAAGGCCGTCGACGACCCGAGAACCACGTGGTGAGTACAGAACAGAACGCATATGACAAGTACAGACACAGCTAGCACCGGTACCCGAGGCAGTCTCAACCTGGAATGGGGGGTGTTGGTGTTGACAACACCCACTGTGCCCTTCATTGTGCCCTTCAACTCTTGCTGTGCTTCCCCCCCTCCAGGGTTCAAGATGGGTCAGATTCCGAAGCAAGCGAAGATCGCAGAGAGTCGGGATCAGGCGGTCTGGCACGCCGTGGGGCTGACGATCACTAAACGCCTCCAAGCTTGGCAAGACCACAAATCTGTCCAACGAGCTTGCGGTGTCTTTTTTCACCTCTGTGAGCGTACTTTTGTGCCTTTTTCCGCACTACTGCGTTAGCTTTAGACTTGTACACTACCAATTTCTACATCCGTAATGATCAGACTACTTTAGTTGACAACGCTTGGGGAGGTGAAGCTGTGACAGTCACATCAGGTGACGGGTGTACACCCCCCCATCGCGGTGCCATTTCCGCACTTGGGTGGTATCTCTAGACTTGTACACTAGAAGGCTACCCCTTGTCTATACATAAAGCCATCATTTCGTTGACGACGCTCAGGAGTTGAAGCCGTCGCAGTCGGTCGCACAAGGTGACGGGTGTAGACCCCCCCACAGCATGAGACACGACACCAACTGCACTTCGCACTGGTTTGCAAGCTAACGTACCATACCCACGACCCCGTGGAACCCGTAATCCTGTAGAATACTACCAGTATCAACATTGACGTGCCTGGCTTCAGGGTCCAACAAGGTTACGCTCAGTGAGTACGTAGAAACGAGAACACGAATCCGCTTGGATTTCACCGCGGTTCGTCTCTACACGCGCCATCTGCGCAGTCCCTCTTTACTTGCCCCGCGTGTTCGCTGTCTTCTTTCGGTGCCGCCGGGGTGAACCAACCTCTCAGGCTTGACCGCGACAAGCACGCCTCCCTGTACTCCTTCAACCCCGCGTTCACGGCGGCGAACGTTAGACCGGATTCTTTGCTAACCTTGATGCAGGTCACGCCAAGCCTTCTGACGGTCTTAATGTTGTGCTTTTCGTCGTCGAAGAACAGCATGTCTCGGTATTCTACACCCGTAGCCGCGTGGATATTCTGGACGGCGGTAGAATAGAAGTGGGCATCGTTGCAAGCGCGAATTGGTGCCGAGTTGTGAGGGCCCAAAACCAACAAATACCCACGGTTCTCACCAGAGCCTGCTTTTCACCAGTTCACTCTCATCGCGTGGGTTCTACTTGAAACCAATAGTTCCTTACTTCCATATGCAAGACTTCCATTCGGGCATGTACACGAAATGTTTCGAACCGCTCTGCGACCGTTTTCCTACGGATGAGGTACACCGGAGTGAATAAATACGCAAGTTTTGAAGATAGTGCATACCCCGGGGTTGGCGTTCCGAAACCGGAGGTCAAAATGGTTTCGGTTTGGTTGTGAGCCACGATCATGAACGGTGCTTCCCATTGGGAGAGTACGTTTCTGGTAGAAAATGTGTGCACCAAACAAAGAAAAAATATGCCGAGATGCAGCAGACCAATAACATTTCACAAACTTAACCAAAATGAATTCCATGAGCTCTCGGTGCGGAATGTAGTTGAAGTAAAAAGGCGCGACAAGTCAGCTCGCGGCGAAGGTCAGGAAGGTGCCAATACCAAACACGTACCTGGAAATGCTTTGCCTTGCTTCCTGTGTGAATTTCGAGGCAGCAGAACAGGCCCAGTAGCCCCACGGCGCCCAAGATGCCTCGTGCTGCTCCGCCCTCGTCTATAGGTGAACGACTTGCCACGGCGAGGCGGATTGATCCCTTGAATGGTGGGGAAATGGCTTACGGTCAGCCATGCGAACACTGAACTCCCACCGCACCAATGCAGTCTGGTGTAGGTAGCCGCACCAATGCAGTCTGGTGTAGGTAGAATGAAGTAGACCAATAAAAGGACCGCGTGAGAACAACAGACAGTGAGAAACAGAGGTCGAGACAGTTCAATGTGTTCAACGTACCACCGATGGAGGCCCCGCTCCCACCTGTTGTTGGAGGCAACGTAATAGGGCGACCACGTCAGGGAAAAGTCGTACGACTTTTTTCCCCCCGAAGGAACTGTAACATTCCACAGCGCTTTCACTGTCACAGAAGCGAGTGTTGCCAAGGCACCGAGTGTACGGCCCCCTGGTTTCCTCGTGGCAGTAGACGGGCCACACCTGAGTGGACGTCGTGATCGGAGCAGATCAGGGCAATAGGTTCAGTTCTCGGATAACGTAGTTCCGTCGGGCATGTTTCCATTGTGTTGTCGCGGCCTGTCGTTCATGGAGTTCCTTCACGGGGTTTGTTTCGCTTTCATGTCCTCAGCCAAAACTGACGAATCCGAAGAGAGCAACCAGGTCTGACGGCATCAGTGGCTCACGCGCGCTTGCACAACACCGGTAGGTTGAGAGCATGAACGGCCTCTTTCGGGTTCCTCTAAGTACATTGGCGCAGGCACGGGAAAAAAAGCCGGACATGAGCAATTCGTGTCTCAGCAATAGACTCCTACCGCAAGAGGAAGAACCCCCCCGCGAGCGAACGTGGGCCAGAACTACACATATGGCATGCACCCTAACTTTAATCAGTTCGCGAGTTGACCCTGAGGCTGTTTTTTGGTTGTGCTACCGTTTGCCTTCTGTCATCAAAAGGCCCGGGAAGAGTTCATGTTGGCTTTGTTGTCTCCGTGCTATTTGGTCAAGAAATGTTTCTTGTGTGCTAGATGATTCTCACGGCTCATGTACATCATGATTTGATGGGGCCTTGCAGGCATTAACGCGAACGGGTTCTTGCGGGGGGTCGAACAAAATTGATGGGAGAGCACATGGTTGTGGCGCAGCACCATGCCCTAGGGGTCAAGTTTCCCTTTCTTCTCATCATCCGTTCTTGAGTAGCCCCAGCGCACACGTGTATGTTCAACGCTGCAAATGTTCTTGTGCAGCAGTCCAATAGTAACAACAATATTGTAGGTTTCGGTCGCGAGATGTCGCGATCATATATGCCAAAAATCTAGCATCGTCAGGCCATCCGAGGGGCTGAAACGTGACCTGGCTGATTCTCTTCTGAAGATGCTGAACATCTACCACACGTCACGACGTCGCTGCTTGTTATTTTTCATCACACTCTTTCCCGACCGATCCTACTTGTATCGATTCGTATGTCGACGTATGTGTGTATGTAGACCAACCGCTTGAAGAGCGGCATCATACAGCGCTAACAGGTGCACAGTGACCAGCACATCGCCGCCTTGTGTCCCCATTCGGTGCATCGTGTGCATCGTGATCGTGTGCCGTGTATCGTGAGAGGGTATAGTGTAAATAAGCACGAAGAGTGCGCCTGGTGAAAATGGGGTCATGTGGGCCTGGTGTTCGAACACGAATTCTCCCAACCAAGTCGCAATCACCAAAGTAGTTGCCAACGTAGGCCACCAACCTCGTTCTCACCGTTTTGTCCAGGTCGAGCACGACGAGCTTAGGCAGGGCACCGGTGAGGTGTAGTTGACCCTCTTGATGCGCCGGATGATTTTCCAACGAGCTCTTTGGCGGAGGAGCGTTCCCGGTTTTTGGTGTTTTCTCATCTTGGGATGGTCCTCCAACGCAAGAGCTGATCTCATCTCTTTGTCCACTGGCACCTCTCTCCCGATCACCATGGCTATCAAGCGCGTCCTCGGCACTCCGCTTCAGCGATGCCATGTGACACGTGAACAATCTCCCCGTCCTGGCAAAAAACTGGACGGATTTGAAATTTGAAATACCCAGCCCGCTCGATGCTGCTCTGCTGGCCAGTAGCTCAAGCCTATTTCCTTGCCAGAGTCTGAGGGGAGTAAAGTGTTGTGCTGGATTCTTCCTGTGGCCAGGCGTGCCCTGTCTCTCCCCACAAGGAACGGTCTTCTGGGATCATGATCAGAGACAAAACAGGGACCGCAAGACTGTGAAATCACAACCAATCAGCTCGGGGGGGTGCCGCAGACTGAAACTTTCTGCCTACATACCCGGATATTCTCCGCCCGGCTGTCGCTGGCCTGTGCCTGTGTGGTGCCACCACGGCACCACGGACGGACGCTGTGCTGCCTGGTCGTTTGTTGTGTATGCCATACACCGCCACAGAGAAAGAGATGGAGGCGCCAAAAACTCGCTTGATTGTGAAGAATGTGCCCAAGCACGTTGACGAAAAACGCCTGTGGCAGCACTTTGCCGAGAGGGGGGAGGTGAGCTTTTTGAGACTTGAAGATGAACAAGGACCACCAACAAGCACACAATCACACCGGACATGTTCGGGCCCACAGCGAGGGCAGTAGTATTTGCTGGACACCTTGGCGGGCTCAGGCTGCAGATTTGTACAACGCTGTCAACAAGTGTAATTTGTTGCAGTCAGCCCTTATGTTCTCCTGATCTCGTCGTCTCTACACCTGTGCTCTCGTGCTCTCCAGTGCTGACTCCATTGCTGACGTCTTCTGTTCAGACTTCAGAGTCGCATGCATAGTGGACGTGACAGCGGTGGTCACCTGCACCTTTGCGGCCGAATTGTGTTGCCGCAAGCAACTCCAAGTCAGTTTGCTGTCCTGCGTGTGTTATTAATATATCTAGGGACGGGAAGCAGTTGGTGCACTTTCGGCTGTACGTCCTCGGTGTTGTCTTTGAACTTTCAACTGGGATGATATACAGAGCAGTAGACCAAACTCTGTTAAAAGCTAGATACTGTTCAACAGCAATAGAGAGGGTTGACATCAGATAGACCTCTTTTTCCGCGACATCAATGCTCGCATCAAAATTTTGAACGAGTAACAACGCAAGCAGCGTCAGTGTCGTTCGATGGGCAGCCATCTCAACTGCTGCTGTTTCAGCAGGTTAATCGCGTGCATAGGCCTGTGCGTGTGTGGAGAAAGGCAACTTGGTCAGTGAGGGCCGAGGTGGGAAAGTCTTGTAAGAGGGTACTGCAGCGGAAACGAGAGTGAAGCACCACGCGAGAGCGCATCACCATCACCACACCCATCTGTCACGCAGTTCAGATCACTAATCCAAAGTCTCTGAGGAAACCAAGTAGAAACTCCCTGTTTTCCCGCATTCTGCAACTACAATCGCCGTAGATCTATGCCCCATCTTCAACCAGTACTGTATGACGAACATCAACACTCGGACAACTTCTCTTCTCTTCCAGTGCAAGGTTAAGTTAAGTTGAAAACGGACAATGAACTCGCGCGACTGAAGCGTTTAATATATTGTTTGTTTGCGCGTTCCTTCTTGGGGACTGCTGTGGTCCAATACAACACTGCTGTTGTACCACTTCAATCCATCATGTTGGCCCCCCTTCTGCCTCTTGCCTCTGGCGGAATGTGTGTAGGTTTCCGATGCAAAGATCGTGCGCACCAAAGACGGAAAGTCGCGGCAATTCGCCTTCGTGGGATTCACGACTGAAAGCGACGCGGAAGAGGCTCTGAAGTACTACAACCAGACCTTCCTGGATACCAGCCGAATACAGGTGAGGACGCGTCGCGGAGAGAACTGTCGATTTGTACTTCTACCGTCTTTGACGTCGCTATCATGCTCTACTGTTGTTTCTGTGTTCGTTTATCACCATACCTGCCTTGCACCTGCATGCCTAACGTTTCTATGTATGTAGAACCCCCTCTCGACTGTGCAAGTCAGGTTCTCTTATATGGCTGTTGGAACCGTCCGTTTCTGATACATTCATAACCACACATGATACGCTTCGTTGTGTTTACTCTCAACATACATGAGGCTGTACGTTCGATAGAAACATATGATACACCTCTGTGGCGTTGTCTCCAGGTCGAACGCGCCCAGCCCAAAGGAAACGCCGGCATCGCGCGGCCTTGGAGCAAGCATTCCGAGGGTAGCTCCCGTGCACAAAAGCTGGCAGAGGCAAAGGCCAGGAAAGAAGTCAAGGCCAAGGATAAGAAGCGAAAAACAGACGAGTCTTCCAGTGCCAAGGCAGCTGCGGCATCGGCACGTGGGAAGGTGGAGAAGGAGGAGTTCATGGCGGCGCTGAAAAAGCGGAGCGAGGCCAGGTTCTGGGACAACGACGATGCTTTGCTGGATCAAGCGCAAGCTGCAGCAGGCGGCAACATCGAGGATCGCGAAGGTACAAATAGTGACGCCACCAGCTCGGACGACGATCAAGCGAGTGAAGACAACCAGGAACTCGCGGATGGAGCTGACAGTGACGCGGAGTCAACAGAAGAGGGAACATTGGGAAGCACGAGCAGCAGTAAGGAGAAGCGACAAGCCGGCGGCGGGTCGGACATGGACTGGCTCCGCTCCAAGGTGGGCAAGGGAGGAGCAGGAAGGGGGAAAGCAAAGGGCGACGAAGCTAGTGCAAGCGAGAGCGAAAGCGAAGAAGACGAGCAGGGCGGTGGAGCCGGAACAGGAGGAACGGGGTCAAAGGGAAGTGCTTCCGGGCGTGGGGAAAGCGAAAATCCCAAGAGGAATGCTCAGACGGCCGATGGCGGCCACTCCGACAACGAAGGCGACGAGGAGGAGGAGGAGGAGGAGAGTGGGCTGTCCGTGGGAAGGCTGTTTGTGCGCAACCTGCCGTACACGTGTACCGAAGATGACCTCAGAGACTTGTTTGGGAGCTTCGGGATGCTGTCGGAAGTTCACCTCCCTGTGGATGACGTCAAGAAGGTGTGTGTTCTCGACACGAGCGTGCGAACGCGGTCTATGTTTGACCCCCTCCTAGAGGCGAAGGAGGTGTAGAGCCGACAGAACTGGCCAGTTGTATCCCGTCCTCGTCATCGCAGGATCCCGCGAAGAGAGTCGACCCACTCTGTACTTCTCTGACGTTGGCCTAGTCGGAGTCAACCACGGCCTGGGTTGCGTATCGCATGTTTGTCTGTGGACTCGTTGAAACCGTTTTACACGTAATCATCTTCTGCTCCTGTCTCAAAGCCCACGCGGAAGGAAATACAACACGCGGTGGGTTGTGTGTCAACTCTTCCAGTAAGATGTCTGCCAGGAGTGTTCCATTCCTATTCTTGTTCGGACTGCTGGCGAGCTCGTTCTCTGAGTAAGCGCACCGCCGGCCCATCACCGGGTAGGTTATTCACTATTCCCAGATGGTGACGACTTCATTGCCCCTCTCTCGTGTTCCCATTGCCCTCGCACCCAGGGCAAAGGGTTTGCTTTCGTTCAGTTCGTTATCCCGGAAGATGCTGGGAAGGCCTTGGAGCAGCTAGACAGGCACGCCTTCCACGGGAGATTGCTGCACATCATACCAGCCAGGAGGCAGCCCGGCTCATCGGGGGCGGAGGCGTCCGGCACGGCTGGAAGGTAAATTGTTGATACTTCTTGCTGTGCCTGAGGGGCTGATTGTTGTGCCCAAGTTGGTGCTGCCTCTTCTGTGACGTCGGTTTCATCTAGAGAGGTTCTTCCCAACACCTTACGCGTTCACATTGTTTGAAACATGGACGAGGCTGTAGCGATAATTCTGTTTGTGACCCAACCCCAAACACTGGTTTCAGGAGTCACGGCCGTAGACGCCCGTGATCTGTTTGATAGACCGTTGACCACGCGATGTCCTCGAGAGGACGGGAGCATTGTTCCCACAGGGCCGATCACCCATGGCCAATCGTTCCTTCCTTTGATAAGGTGTTTGTACATATGTGTCGCGTACAATGTGACACAACCAAGAGTTGGTGGTGAGGAGAGGGTGTGCATGTACGCACCGTACTCCGGCAGGATGAGCCGATCGTTGCCCGAAGCATTAAATCTTGTGTTTGGCGCAATTAGGTGTCATTATTTTTCGGAACCCTTGGTGCTGTGCGACAGCTGAGCTCAGCTGGTGCGCAAGCGTGTGGACTCGAGAGACGCCTGCCTCAAATAGGCACCGTCCAATCTTGGAAAAGAACTGTGCGTGAACCAACTATCGCTGAAAAATACCACGATACTTGAAGCCTTCGCGCTGCACCCCGCACACACGTCACCTCGGTCTCTTCAGTGCCGCTACCGCGGGGAAGAGCTATAAGGAGAAAAAGGAGATGGATCGCCGGGCGCGAGCGGGCGACACGGTGGGGTGGAACGCTTCCTTCGTGCGATCGGACACCGTGGTGGATGCTCTCGCAGACCGTTTGGGGGTCGGCAAGAGCGACATTCTGGATCGAGAGGAGGTGGGCGAGCTGCGATTGCGGAGCAAAATTGCCGGGGGCTGTCGAACAGGCCTGGTGTAGGGCCCAATCGATTACGCGAACGCAGTTCTAGTTGTGGCCTTGCAGCCTCTTTCACTGTCTGGTCGCTGTTGCTCGCGTTGGCGATGCGCGGTGCAAGGGTGGTGCCGACACAAAATGCATCCAACGCGTCTGCAGTGTTGCTGTCAACAGAGCAGTTGCAACAGAGACAGAGGGCTTAGACGGCGAAAGTACGTCGTGCACGTCGTGCTCCCGAAAATTATGCACTCCGTAAACCGCTTCTGCTGTCTTCCTCTCTGTATTGTTCCACCCACCGCTTGATCTTTTATGGAGCAGCACGTCCTCTCTGCAATTTTCGAAAACAATGCGTTTATTTATTTGCACTCTCGCGCCGCTCTTACGCGCTGTCCAAATTGATCGACACGAATCGCTAGGGCGACATGGCCGTCAGGTTGGCTCTGGGAGAGACTCTCCTGGTCAAGGAGAACAAGGAGTACTTCGAGAAGGAAGGGGTGGATCTCTCGGTCCTGGAGAGTACCAAGGGCAAGGGGAGCGGAAAGGGGGCCGAGGAGCGTAGCAGCACGGTCATTTTGGTCAAGAACTTGCCGTACAGCGCAGAAGCGGCGGAGCTGGCCAAGCGGTTCGGGGCGTTTGGAGACGTAAGCACGGCTGGCGTATTCTGATTGGTGTGCCCAGTTACCGAACCCGCCTCAACAGCGATAGCCTGCCTCGGTCCTAGAAGATGGCTGGTGGAGAATCTCCAGTCCAGCGCTAGGTGCCCCAGCTCAATGTCCGGTGTCGCGCTGGCGCAATTGCTCACTGTGCTTACTCTATTTAGCACCTTCTGCTTGCCGCGAGTTGCTGCTCCCAAGCCCGTCATATGTTCCAATGCGCATAACGGCCGGACTGACACAAATATCACACCGGCCGAATCTGCGGTGCAACATCTGGAGCATCACTTGACTGCATTGAGTGCTTTATCCTTCACGCCATGCGCTTGTTCCCGTGCCTTAATGTCCACATGCTACTTTCTGCTCAGGAGAAAACCACTCAAAACATGTAAGTACTTGTTGCGCTCTTACCCTTGAATAATGCACGAGAACAGATGCGAGTTATGGATAAACGATTACAGGCAAGATACTTGATGGTTGGCAATCGTAACGAATATGCATATCGTGAGTTTGTATTCCACGCGACACGCTGACTCGAATTATTGTTTTGTCCTCATCTGTGCAGGTGGGACGAGTCCTCCTCCCACCGTCCAAGACCGTGGCGCTCGTTGAATTCCTTGCAGCATCCGACGCGAAAAAAGCTTTCAAACGATTGGCCTGCGCCAGGTTCCAACACGTGCTCCTGTACCTCGAGTGGGCACCCTTGAAGGTATGGTTGTACTGCTGTACTGCTTGCTGTGTGTTGTGCTCCTGAATCAAAGAGAGAGGATTCGTTTGCTCCGACAACCTCTTGCCTGTAGCCTGTCGGTGCTGCTGCTGTTGCGTTGTTGTGTTATCTTGACGTTAAACCGCTGTTTTTTGCAGCCATCCACCCAGTCCGGCCGTGTGCTAAATCCGCGTTGATTCCGTGAGCAGAGAGGACAAGCGTGGTTGCCAAGGCGGTTTAACACAACACGCTTTACCCGTGTCAGGGCACAAGCTTGTTCTCACACTAGTGTCGGTCCAACTATTACGCAAAGACCCTATGAGTGTTTGTGCATGGGTCGAAAGAAAATAGATAACTGGGGGCTACGGTGCATGTTTTCTGTGATGTAGACCAGTCGGTCGAAATCAAACGTTGTGCCCCACTTACACCGACCTCCGACCCCTCCTTGTACAGGGAGAAAGTCATCGCAGCCGACTGGCTTTGCCAAACACTACAACGGGCGGCAATTTTGTTCGTGGGGTCCCTCGGTTGATTCGTATGCCCTGTGTGTTGACTCGGCTGAACGGTTCATTCTTGCATGCCAGCCCTACTTGACTGAGCTGCTTGTCGTATTATGATACCAGGCCTTCAAGGATACGTTTGAGCCTTCGTCGAAGCCGGCATCACTGCCGGCATCAGAGAAGGCTGCGACTGGAGAGGAGGCAAAGGTACGGCCCGCTTGTTAAGTCCACTTCACTCCTGTCTGTATTAAATGAAGCTAACATAGGCGCAAGTACGTTGAGAGCTTGTCCATTGTTTTCCGAAGCGAGCTCACCAATCGCTCACAATTACACAACCATGTGGCATATGATAGGAAAAAAATGATCTCGCGCCCGTTCAAAGGTTTCTGGACAAGCCGCATCGAAACCACGTTGGAGGCAAGGAACAATGAGGGTGGAAACCCCACATACTCCACTTCCCCTGCTTGTTGGATATCTGTCTGCCTGTCTGTCTGTCTGTCTGTCTGCCTTGTGTGAAAGGTCGACGAGGATGAGGTTGCCGCGGGGCGTGCGTCGAAAGAGCCTTTGACGATGTTCGTGAAGAACCTGTCCTTCTCCACCACCGAGGCGGGCCTGAGAACCTGCTTCGAGAAGGCCGGCTTGCAAGTGCGCTCGGTCTCGATTCCGAGAAAAAAGGGGCCGGGGGCAAGCGAAGCCACTCTCAGCATGGGCTTCGGGTTCGTGGAGTGCGCCGACGCGAGTCTGGTCGACAAGTCTCTCAAGGTAAGGTTTTCTGCGTTTCGTGGTGTTTGGCAGGCAACCTGTTGCGCTGGAGTGGAGGACGTGCGGGGGGCGGCTCCTATTTTGACGGCATGGATCACTACAGGCACTTTTGCGGTACACACGTTGAGACCGCATAAGAGTCTTCCACGAATTTTGTTCGCGGTTGAATTGTCGATGGGATGATGCATTCTCGCACCCGTTCGCGTGGGACGTTTCTCGATATTACTTTCATTTGCCGTCGGCATTCGGTGTGAAGGGGGTTCCAGCAAATGCCCGCTGTCAGTGTCTTTTTCACGATGTGTGAAGACACGCGCACGTCGGCGTTATGAGATGGCCCACTAAATATGCTCATATTGCTATCCTCTTCCCTCGGCATTCCCATGGCGCCTGTCTGGTAGACTCTTCAAGGCACGGTCCTCGACGGGCATGCCCTGGAGCTGAAGCGATCCACCAAGAGACTAACACCAGCAACGAAGGCATCGTCTTCTTCTTCTTCTTCTTCACAGGGGGACAGCCTCAAGCGAACCAAGATCATTATCCGAAACATCCCGTTTCAGGTCAGCTCAGCCGACTGTCTACACACCTTCACTCAACGTTTGAAGGATGACAACGATTTTGCTGATGAATACGTTGGGGTGTCATCACAGCTTGTTTTTATGATCAGGCGAAGGCAGGCGTTTGAAGCCTTGGCCGCGCAAGAGGCTTTTCGTAGCTCTCTGAGCCGCTTGCCTCCTTGAAGTTATTGACGTGATCACAGGATGGCCAAAGGATAGCGTTGTGGGGAGGGGGCGTCAGCAAATTCCACACTGTTGTGTGGTTCTCGAGAAGAAGTTGTGGGACAGTTGGTTTCGTTTGGCACAGTCCTCATCCACGCCTCCTCATTCCATGTTCGTGTATAGCTACTGCTGTATCGTTTTGTTTGGTACTTCGAAGTACTGCGCCTATGGTTGGTTAAAGGGGTGCGTTGAAGGTCGACCCGGTTTGTCTCATGTCTGCATCATGTGTGTGACGGAAATCCTGCCCTGAATCGCATCGCATGCTGTCCGCCAAACCACCTTTCCTTTCCAGGCAACTGCGAAGGAGATTCGCGAACTATGCTCAAGCTTTGGTCAGCTGAAACGCGTGCGATTACCGAAGAAGTTCGACGGCGGCCACCGAGGATTCGCGTTCGTTGACTTCTTGACTGCACAGGTATAAGTGTGATTCGTTCTCTTCGTGGTTCTGGCATGATCACAAGACCCCTTCCCTTCCACACCTTTTGTCATTTGGGAGAAGTTAGCACTGAGGAATGAACTGATTTGGGTCTATCCACACTTGAGGCCGGCACCTATAGTATAAGCAGCATTAGTCGTGATCCAGCAATAGAGGACTCAACCCAACCATCGACTGCTTCCCCCCGGTTCATTTTCGTGCCGCGTGGCAGGAGGCCATGGGCGCCAAAAAGTCGCTGGAGTCTACGCACTTCTACGGCCGTCATCTTGTAGGGGAGTGGGCGGAAGATGGGGAAGACATGGACACTCTGAGGGCGAAGGCTGCGAGAGATTTGCGCGGTCCATCGAACGGAGGCCGACCAGCAAAACGGCAAAAGGCGGCGAGCAGCGGCGACGACTTCGCGGACATGGACGGTTAATTTCTGTTTACTGGTGTGACTGCGGGTGTTTTTTTGTGATGTTTGAGGGTGGGTGGTGTGGATGTTGTAGGTGCGTCGGGCGTGAACGGGGGGAGGTCCTACTCTGTTGTTGTTCAAGGAGGGATCACTTCGTTCTCTACTCTTGGTGCTTTACTTAATCAGTTTATGACTTGCAGTATGCCAACCTGTCCATGGCGTTCTTCACGTGCGATGTTAAAAGGAACATTGTATACTTGTACGGAGTCGGTGTCTCGAGCCCAGGTGGTACATTGTACTTGGGTTGTGACAGAGGGAATGCCCTCTGGGATATCAACCCCCGTGGCCCCCCATTTACTAGTTCTGACAAGAACAGAGGTGCCCCCCCTAGGCGCAATCACACCACAGAGTACACAGTTTGCCCTAAACGACAGGTATGCAAAGAATGTTGCCTTTCGTGTCCTATAATACGATATGCATATATATCCACGTTGCGTTTTTCTGTCCCTATGCAAAGCCGTGAGATATGTTACATGTTATGCGTGTCTTTCTCGAAGGGGTTGAGAACGATGCGTACGGCGCCCGTAGATATCGTCGGATTTTAGTGAAAGACGTTGAGAACACCAGTCAGTTCGGAAAGCGACAAGCTAGACATTGTTTTCTCAGTATCTTGATTTGGTGTTGCGTACAAAAAGTTGACGACAGCGAAGGCTCCATCACACCAGTTCGTAGAGCGAGCTCAAATGCACAGACATTCTGCTCTCACAGGAACACTCCGTGAGAGGGTGGAAACGCACCATCAAGACAACAACCGATACAGCTGGTGGAAGTCTGTCTAGCTCTCTTGGCATGCTCGCGAATCTGGAGCTCTCACTCACGTCTGTTTTTGTAAACTTAGCAGCTAACTTGGCCCACACCATCCGAGTCGGTGCGAAATATCATCGCCCTGGATTCTGGTGCTGCTTGCCAATCACCAGTACATTCGCAGAACAGGCCTTCGCTCTCTCAAGCAGTTTAAATCATTTCTCGGCAGCGGAGGCGATTTGAGCTACTCCCACTCAACACAACTCGGCTACACGTCCCTCTTCCGCGGTACCCCTCTCCCCCTCACCACACAGCAGTCTAGGGTTAAGTATGTGTAGTGTGCAGACTGCAAAGGGATAGACTACGCCGTGTGTATACAGACGTGCATCCATTCATGCCACGCGTCTCAAATCCCGTCGAGACACGAGAAAACGTTACTGCTCCCGTTTGCCTCTTCAAGCGACAGAGGAAGTACCGTAGCGGCAAGATGGGCCAGAGTTTTTTTCAGAAAGTACGCATGATATGGCATCACAGTCCGATTACCCCTTCGAGCAATGAGTGTTTCTTTTGGTGAAAATACTATATCTACATATATACTACAATGTATGTACTCTGAAAAAACATCTTGAGATAGATCGCAAGGGCGCTACGGCAGTAACATCAGAAGAAAACTAAAAAAGCACGAAAACATATGTACTCTAATACGCGGGGCTCGAACCCGCGACCTTCCGCGCATAACTAAACTCTTGTCGAGAAACAGTAAGTTATGACAATTGTTTTTCTGCGCCAAATATGCGGCGTCCCGGTCGCCCCGTTGACCTAGAGAGGCGCGCTGACGACCCCGGTATCACGACGACAAACGGAAAATAAATCAAGAAAGCCCTACAATAGCGTCCAGAGTTTGGTGATGACCTTACGGACAAGTGTGTGTGCAGAGTTTCTTGCCCCATGGAAGAATGTCGAAAACACAAAAAAGGCGTGTACCACATGGAATATAACAGCCGGATGGGCGCAAGCATGCGTTTAATTTTTTCCCTGAACCAGCTTGTTGGATATAAAACCTCTCTGGAAAATGTGTGTCAACATGTGCTCAGGTGGTTTAGTTGGTTATAATGTCCGCCTCACACGCGGAAGGTCGCGGGTTCGAACCCCGCCCCGAGTATACTTTTATGCGTTTCGTACTTTTTTTTTTTTTCCGCCCACCACGTCCTCGTCTTTTTTACAGCACACACATGTTATTTTCGTGTACCTTTTTTTTGGGGTAAGTTAGCGTGTGACCACAGGAATTGATCACGTCAAGTGTTACAGGTTAGACTATTTATTAATATTATAATACGGACGGAAGAAGGTACTGGGCAGAGAGAACGGAACGGTTTTTAATGTGAAGACAATAATAGCAACAACAACAACACATGGATATTACCTCATCCATCCGCACCTCTCCCTCTTCCTCTTAGATTTATTTGTCTCCCTTCGTTGGATGGGTCCTCCTTCCCATTCCTCTTGTGCCTTGTTTACTGTCTACTGTTGTTTTGTTTTTTTCTTTTCTTTTTTTGTGGCCGGGTTCAATCGTCTCCAGTTGTATTTCGTCGTAATTTATGTGCTATGCTATGCATATTATCGCATTTTTTTGGAGTTTTTTTTCTGGGTCTTTTTTGCGTTCTCTCTTTGGGTCGTTCACTTGTATTGTGACCAAGCAACGAAGGCGTCCGTGTCAGTTGGACCAGTAGGGATATTTTTACGTACTGAGCGAAGACCGGAACGGTTTTTACTGTGAAGACAACAGAATAACATCATCACATCGATGTGTTATTAGGTGTTACAATGCCGTAGCGGGAGTGAGTTTGTTGTTGTCTTCATTAAGAAAAAGCACGAGGTATCGTGAGGGAGTGAGACGAAATAGAAAGACGCACGAAAAGCAAAAAGTATACTCGGGGCGGGGTTCGAACCCGCGACCTTCCGCGTGTGAGGCGGACATTATAACCAACTAAACCACCTGAGCACATGTTGTATGGAGGAGGACAGGAGAACTTCTATATCCAGCAACGACCTGGTTCTGTACTGCCAACTACTACGAAGTACTAAGACTAAACGACCAGACAGACCAGAATTCGGTGGAGACCGAATCGACATGATGAGAGTCTCTATATTGTATGTGCTGTCAAAAACACCGGGCACGGGACGAAAATGAACGAAGCACGAAAAGCAAAAAGTATACTCGGGGCGGGGTTCGAACCCGCGACCTTCCGCGTGTGAGGCGGACATTATAACCAACTAAACCACCTGAGCACATGTTGAAGGAAGAAGGACAGGAGAACTTCTATATCCAGCAACGACCTGGTTCTGTACTGCCAACTACTGCGAAGTACTACGACTAAACGACCAGACAGACCAGAATTCGGTGAAGACCGAATCGACAAGATGAGGGTCTCTATATTGTATGTGCTGTCAAAAACACCTGGGCATGGGACGAAAATGAACGAAGCACGAAGCGCAAAAAAGTATACTCGGGGCGGGGTTCGAACCCGCGACCTTCCGCGTGTGAGGCGGACATTATAACCAACTAAACCACCTGAGCACTTGATGATTACCTCGCTATGTGAGAGCTTGCATATTCAACAACCTGGTTCAGCCGAAAAATTAAACAATTTGCTTCCGTCCACCACCCGGCGTTTATATGATGATGTGGTAAACGCCTTTCTTTTTGTGTTTTCGACATTCTTCCTATAGACCACACACTATTCTTTGTTCGTAAGGTCATCACCAAACTCTGTAGGGCTTTCTTGATTTATTATTTTCCGTTCGGCGCATCAGCCCCCCTCCCTGAGTCAAGGGGGCGTCTGGGACCGACCCCGCATATTCGGCGCAGAAAAAACAGACAAATCCCCCATGTAGCTTACTGTTAACAGTTTCTCTACAACAAGAGTTTAGTCATGAGACCTGTAACAGTATTGGACAAGCTAGCGTGCATTTTTCCGTGGGCTAACTCGAAAACATGGAGTGAATAGTTTTTTTGTAAAATAGGAAACATACTCGGATTCTCAGCAGATTAAAATCACCTACCAGCTGCCCGTTTCGAGGACAATCTCAGCGTTCCTTAGATGATATACTTCGTATACATGCAAGGAAACCGTCACGACACTGTCCGGGTCGTAACTCCATACAACAACCAGTGGACATTCGACGACGCCAAGAGTGTTTTTTTTCTTGTTGTTGTCGATTCCCATAGTCACAGGCTAGCTTACCCTAAAAAAGGCACATACACAAAAGAAATGGACCCGAAGGGTCCGCAAAACAATCAAAATCAGAGACAGATAGCCTGGAGCCCTCCGCTCCCCTGTATACGCCATGAATATGAGGTAAAAATGAAAATGGAAGTCAACACCACCGGCCAGAGAGGTGCCTTCCGTGACTCAATCTTTGTGTCCCCATACCGCCGGCACAGATCGCGTCACTTGGCCAGCCTCTTCTCGTTTGCTTTCTTCCCTCGCCGTCTCGTCCGTCTGCTGCCCCACTCCCGCCGGTTTGGTTGTCATCATATCTATACTAATGCTTGGCTCGTTGTCTCGTCTAAGCGCTCGATGTCGGCAAGCCTCCTCTTCATCCTTGTGCCAGGAGGTCTTGAATCTCTCAGCTCCCTGCAGTACCCCCGTATGCCACGGTACTCCCCGCTCCACCTTCGCTGCTTCCGTCCAAACTAATCCCGGGACTCCGAAAACATATGGCTCTTCGTACGTGGATCCGCACGTAGCCCCGAACGCCTTGAAGTCGCTCTTCAGGCACGTTTGCCAGTTTTGCTCCGGTTTTCCCCTGCCTGGGCTCTCCCCTCCCACCAGCTCGCCGAACATCAGCCGTTTCGGGGGTCGTCCGTCCGACTGCCTTGCCAATGCTCCCGCGAACAGTAGGCACCGTTGCCGAACAGTGGCTTCCACCCGCTGGCACCTGACCGTCTTCAGAGCCTGGGCGTAGGAAAGCTGCCGGTAGGTGCCCTTCTTGCGTTGGAAACCGATAACTCGCAGGAGCAGCCGGTGACGCATCGACCGCAACAGCTCTTAGTGTTCGCAACACGAGGCCAACGTCATTCAACCGTACTGCAGTGCCTCCGTCACCTCCGCCTGGAGCAGGCAGATATTGAGCCGAAAGGGTGCTCTCGGTCTGTCGAAGAGCTCCCGGCCATATCTCCTGATGCACGCCCACGCTCCTCTGCTGCTGTAATTGATCTCCCGGGTGAGACGCCACGTTCGTTGGTGAGGCCACCTAGGTACCGGAACTCAGTCGTGTGGGCGTACCTCTATCCCGCTGCTTCGATGATCAGCTGTGACGGCGGGGGCGGCGGGGGGAACGGTGGTGTTGTCTACTTCTCCTTTGCGCGCGTCAGGGAAGTCTCCGTCTTCTTCTCCGATACCGTCAGCCCGAACTCCCCGAACACCTCCACGACGACGGCCATCATTCTCGCCAGTCCGTCGGCAGACCTCGATACAACCCCCGCGTTATCGGCATACAGCATCCCCCATACCGCCTTCCGTGCTTGGTCATGTGGTGCCCCCGTCCACACTCCTATCTCCTCCGCCAGGTACGCCAGGTTCCGCAGAATGACATTATCCTCGCTGAATCGAATGACAACGACCTCGAGAGCCACGGCGAAGAAGATGTTGGACAGCAGTGGGGACAGTACGCACCCTTCCTTGTCGGAAGCCCTGCGTGACCTAAAACCAGTCCAATAGTTCCTCGTCGTCCATGCGCACCCGGGATCTCATTCTGTCGTGGAATTGGCGGATGACGGTGATCATCTCTGCGGCTATCCCGGCCCTGGACAACACCCTCCACAGCAGCTCTCGATCCACCTAGTCATGACCCTTCTGCAGGTCGACGAAGCACATGTAGAGAGGTATTTCATTTCTCAGCCCCAGCCCCTGGAGTCAGTGGACACTACGAACAGCATATCGACGGTAGATCGCCCAGGTCGGAACCCGCACTGGTCCTCCGGGAGGATGTTGTTGGCTTCGCAGAAGGCGCTTAGGTGGTTGGTGATAATGTTGACGGGGACCTTGCCTACGTGAGAGAGCCGTGAGGTCCCCCTGAAGTTGTTGAACTTTGTAATGGTATTTGACCCCTTCCTTCAGAATCAATCACCTTTAAGCTGTGTGGAAGAATCTCTTGTCCGACCACAGTAGCAGGTTGTTGTTGCTTTCCGTTGTTCTCTTTCTCTTGATTAACGCTTTCCAAGCCAACTCACAATATCCCACGCACACACGATCATAGATCGTCTGTACGCACACACTGAACAGAAGGGCACATGTCTCGGCATAAAGTCCTGACCTAGCATGACGTCACGTCATAGCATCCGACGGCGCCAAATAACCATGATCAACCACGATCACATGTCTACCTCCAAATACCATAACAATAGCCCACCCTGAGTGGACGTAGATGCAGATACAGAAGCAAACCTCGGAGGGACTCTAGTCAATCAAGAGGATTGCGGGATGGATCGAAGATACGACAACTCAAAACCCTCACCCGCACCTCTCCGTTAACCAAACCAAAGAAGCGGAACCAAGAAAGAAGAAAGCAAAGAAGCCGGGGGCGGCGAGCTCTCGGCGCGGATAAAATCGGAAAAAGGCACATGGGTGCGAACAATAAACAAAACATCCGAACCGAAAAGACCATAACACGAAGTAACGAAATCGTGAAGAGAAAATCACAAACGATGTCGCACGAATGAACCGATCGAATACGCAATCAAGTAAGCCAGAACCTTACGGGAAGGGGGGCTACGATGCGATCGAGTGCTGAAATGTAAACATAAAGAATAAGAAACGAAAACCGAGCCTGCAGAGGATCAAACGACATGGAAAACCGTTAGGGGTCGACCAAAATCGAGAAAAGCAGCGAAAGAGGGGGTTTCCGGCAACGTAGACAACGGCCAAAGAAAAGGACAGGAACCAACGCCAAAAACAACGTTCGCATGTCACGATACATCGTGCTTGCGATCGGGGTGGGGCGAGGAAAACAATCCTACGTGTACGTCATAACAGCTTGGACCGGTCACCCTTTTTTACAACACTTTGATGGTTGCGTCCTTCCACTCTTCTTGCGGGATCTCTCTCCGCCCCACACCTAGCGAAGATGGCACGGACGTGCTCCCGGACCATGTGTTCGTCGCCATCGATCTTGAGCAACTTGGCAGGGAGGGAGTCATGGCCGGATGCCTTCCAGGTCTGCCGGTTTTTTATTGCACGTTCCTCCTCCTCGAGGTCTGCCGCCGCTCCCAACCGTCGAGTGGCAGTGTCGCTGGCGGCTGCGTCACTTGTTCGATGATGTCTGGGTTTAGGGTGGGGGACTTGGTGTTGAGGAGGGTGCCCGAACTATCTCGCCTACCGCACGCCATTCTCGTCCGCAACGAAATGCTGTCCTCCTGCTTGTCTCCCACCCAGGCCCACCGATCTCTTGAGGCCTTGGTAGAGTCCTCTCTTGTGGCGGTCCTTGTGGATCGCGTGAGATCCGTTACATATCCATGCCCGTTTCGACTGCTGCAGCTACTCCTTTATAGGCTGCTTTGAGGGTCCAATTCCCGTTGCTGAGATCCGATTACCCTTTGTCGCTCGGCATGCTTCTCGCCGCTTGGTAAGGGCCTCCTCCAAAGCTGCTTTCGTCTCTGGAGTCTCACACCACTCCTGCGTGCGTCGTCCCACTGTTCCTCGGGTAGGACCGCCCGCGCCGCTTCGTGGAGAGCATTGATAAACTCGGTCGCCATCTCCGAGGTGTTGGTCGCTGGCTCGCCCAGTTGTTGTTCGAGGTTGAGGAGGAACCCCTCAGTTTGCTTCGAACTGCAATTCCCCGTCGGTGGAACTGCCTCTGTTTCGGTTTGGTCCGAATTGCTCGGCCGTGGGAGGGCTGCCACCGGGGTTGACGGTAGCTACCACTTGTTGTGGTGAGCCTGCTTGCTGCTGCTACTGCCAAATGTCGGCATACCGGGAAGCTGGGAAGGTGTTGTCGGGATATTTCTAAATGATTTACCCGCCCAGATGGTTTCTTAGTCCAAGGGTCCAAATACCATAACAGGCATGCATGCGTACGTTACATTCCACCCACTATTACGCCGACTACGATTCACACGCAGCTACTGAACATTGACTGAATGGGAGGACAACTGAACAGTTCAACAACAAACCACGTTAGACACTCGGCCGTGGTGTGCCTGCCGCGATTTAGTCGATGCGCTTGCAGTCGATCCCCGACAAACCGTTGTATATGTGTACCATATTCTTAGAAGGTGTTCGTGGTTGCTTTAAGTAGTTTTTTTCCGTTGTGGGAAGGTCACAAAACACACCTGTAGCCTGCCATTGTCCTTCGTCTCATCACGCCCGTGTATACCCATGACTCCCCCGTCCTCTCCACCCGTCCTCTCTCCTATCCGCGCATTGGCGTCCATCGGGACATACAAAATACGCGCACTCTTTTTTGGAGGGGATCCTCCGCACGAGACTGTCAAGTTTCCCGAGAACGTACGCTTGCCGTCGGCGGTGGCGACCTCGGTTGGGGCGTACACAGCAGCAGTAGTGACGATGATGACCGCTCCGCGGTGGCCCGTCATTTCCAACCTCATGGCCATGAGGTTTTCATCGATAAAATCCTTGGTGTGTTGGTATATCAATGGCAAGCATTAGTGTTTGTACTGCTGTACCAATGAGTAGATAATGATAGATCCAACTATTCGTACTGGGAATCGACCGCGTCGAGTGTTGGATCAGTACGGACATACGAAGGTACTGGGTAGAGAGAGATCGGAACGGTTTTTAATGTGAAGACAACAACAACAACAACAACAACAACAACAACAACTGTAAGGCACATGGGCACGCAATAAAAGGCGGTGTAATCACCCCTAGGATCCCAGGATCACCCGAGGAGGAACCTCTCAACTCTAAACTCTCCGCTCCCGCGTTCTTCGTTTAACACCACCTCCAGCCTCCAGCTGCCCACCTCCCACACCCCACACCCACGCACCCTGCGCACTACGCACTACACCAGCACGCGCACCACGTTCTGTACTTTAAGCAAGAAGAACATGGCCGCTAGTGGGGTGTTCATCGTTGGTGCAAAGAGGACAGCATTTGGGTCTTTCGGGGGATCGTTGTCCCGTTTGAGGTACACACCACGTGCAATATTCGACCAGTTCGACACAGGTCGCGACGGCAGTGGGACTGCCTCGTTGGTCATGCCATTAGCGGGGCACGGGGTGGGCTGTATGGCACTGCCGATGTAGCTGACACAGGGAGCTTCCTTGTGTCTTCATGACGCAAGCAGACCTTTGTTCCCACGAACAACCCCCCGTTGTCTTTCTCCGTTCAAGTTGCAGTTCAACGATCTCTACGCTGTTCTTTGCGTTGTGTGTCCGCTCTTGAACATCTACCGGCAGCGCTACCGATCTGGCGGTGGCCTCTTCTAAGGCTGCCCTGGTATCAGCAGGCATCGGCCCTGATTTGATTGATGCCACCTTCGTGGGAAATGTCATCCAGACAAGGTATGTTGTGTAGTGGGCATGAGAGTTTTGAAAACGCAAGGTTCAACTTTCTTCTCAAGTAGACTTTGTAGTACAACTGTACAAGACTCGCAAACCAGCCTCCCCGAGGTGTAGCCAGTAGCCAGTAGCGAACGTATGTCGCCTCCCGACGTTTTTCACAGGCATTGCATGGTCAGGTTGTGGATTGGAATCCTGTCGAAGAGTAGAACTCTGGCTAATGTGTGCAAGGTTCGGTCTTTTGATGACGCAAGGGATGCTGATCGGAAGGAAAACAGAAACCGCTGCTGGCGTGAAATAGTCAAGCAATCGATTGCAAGCCGCTGCCTAGGGAAGAGAACTTGCACTTCGTATAAGACAACCATCAATCTCTTACGCATACCTTTTGCACAGGGCAGCAATTACAGGTTGTACGAAGACTTCAGTAGCTAAAATGAGAGTAAGCTCGGCTTGTTGGGCAATCAACTACCATACAATGAGGCGAGGACCAAAAGATATGGTACGAAAAATTACCGACACATTGGGAGCGGTCCAGGTCCTGTAGGGGGGTGGGTGATGTCTGACAGCTGCACCACCTTTTGATGTTGAAAAAGTTCTTAGAACATGATATATAGAAGTATACAATCACTGAAAGAGTACGTTCCGCTACAATTTCAAGCCCACAGTAGCACCGCTTCATCACACGACCCGGCTCCCCGCGTAACTTGCACTCCGCCTGCAGTCCGGATGCATGCTACCTGTCCAGACACGTCGCTCTAAAAGTTGGGGCCCGGGTGGAGACTCCCGCCCTCACAGTAAACCGCTTGTGCGGCAGCGGCTTCGAGACCGTCGTTCAGGTGAGCGTCGTTGTGGTAGACCCACGGGTGGTTTGGATCCACCTATGGGGCTGGCGATTAAGTATATAGATACGTAGATATTTGGGCAGATATTTACGTAGCTGACTTTAGGATCGTGTCAAGTATGTGGGTACCAATATCCGCTGGGTAGAGAACAGTGCACGCCTTCCGCCCAACGCAAGATCAGGGCTGCGTTGTTGCACAAGCATGCTGTTCATAGCGTCCCTATCCAACCTTCACTATCTCCACCTTGGGAGACCCCCTCTCTTCGTGTACACAATCACGTCTTGCATATGTATGTTTGCGCTAGTAGTCTCGTTTCACGGATAAGGTAAAAACGAGCGGGCTTGCACTTTTTATAGACGGGTCAACCCGCAGCTGTGGCAGCAGCTGAATAAAACTGCTGAAGATAAGCATCCGTTTGAGGTCACCTGCGTGTGCTCCTGGTTGTGTCGTGACACAGGGCGCATACTTTTCATTTGCCGGCAAATGAGTGCCTTCATAGCTTTTTGACGGCGAGGTTCGTTTGTATTCTTCGTCTTTGATGTCAACCTTGACAATGTACGGAGTCATCTTGCGTTGTGGTCAACCACCACCCCCCCGTTGCGGCCGTCCCGCTCGATCGGACCCTGTGCTTCCGTGTTGTCTATCCGCTGGAATTAGGGAGCCGAGGCGATCCAGCTTGGCAAGGCCTCCGTTGCGTTGTGCGCAGGTGCAGAAAATATGAGTTCAGCACCTCTGGTTGTCGCTGGGAACGATGCAAGGTGGGAAACGGATACTGGTTGTCGCTGGTCGCCGGCACAGCGATACTCACGAGTGCAAGCACGAGCGAACGGAGCTCGTGCAATCGAAATCTTGAGGCTAAATGAAGTATTTCAACGTTTTCATATTCGACGATTTATCTCGCCGTCTAAAACGTGAATTTCTTGATGGGCAAACCAAAGGTGGGGTGTCGCTTTGGGGAGTGGTCTGAAGATGGAAGACAGTTTGTGGGCTGGCCTCACGGATTCGTATGCTGGGCTGCCCATGGGAATGACGGCTGAGAACTTGGGGGATAAGGTGCGTGCGTCTGCCTGATACCACGTGAACGCGGGAGGCGTAAATGTTCTTGTCGATGCGACACACTACATACAGCAATTCGATGTTCGGCAGTCTGTTTTGAGAGGCTCTTTGTTCACTTCTGGTCTAGAACAACCCTCAAGTTTCAAGCGTTGAACTAGATTTTGTCATCGTGGTTCGGTGCTAGCGATTGTGCTTTGTGGTGCGCATCTCCGCGAACCACGAGAGGTAATCGATTAATTTGTTTTTTTTGTGGGTTTTGCCGTTGTCTGTGGCAGTACGGCATCACAAGGGAGCAATGTGAAGAGTACTCCGTCCTCTCGCAGACGCGGTGGAGCTCAGGTAATGCCAACGGGGCGTTCACCGAGGAAATGGCGCCTATCGAGGTCAAGACCAAGAAGGGGCCAAAGGTGTGAGGAGTGTCAATAACTCTTGTGAAGCGTTTCTCAGTTTTGGAAGCATGGATGCCAGCTTTGCATCACTCCCAAGTTATACGGGCGGTTGCGCACAAGTACTGTAGAAGGGAGTACGTGTTGTGTTTCTAGCAGAGATGGAGGATAACAGCGTTCTCTCCACGCCAGGTATGTGCAGGCGCGGCGAATCACGCCCAGGGAGCAACACCCTGTGAGGACGGCGTGGGTTTAGAAGCATCCTTGAACCCGGGGATTGTGCACTCTGAACCTGAGGCGCCATATTCGACAGAGGTCTCTGGTGTAAAACAGTGGGGTCATTTGCGGACGAAATGCGATTCTCGAAGGGATCGACTGAGTCGTAGTCATTTGAAATGATACGTGTTGACGCTTTCTAAAGGTGATGGATACGGACGAACACCCACGACCAAGTTCAGTGGAGAAAATGGCTGCGCTCCGTCCGGTCTTCAAGAAAGATGGCGTTGTAACCTCAGCAACCGCCTCCGGTATCTGCGATGGAGCTGGGAGGTCAGTTGGTGCATGTGTTTGGGCCACGGCAGTTGCTTGCTCAACTCATATCCGCACCCGATTGTACCCGGGGCGGCAGAAGGGACCAAACCTTTGGCACATCTGGCCCTTGTCGCGCTGAAAAGCCCGGCATCTTCACATTAGGGGACGCCGCCATCGGACACGATGTTCCTGATACATACCCATCGAAAAGTGCGATCAATTCGTGCAAATCGCGGTGAAAGCTACTGCAGCTGACCTCCCCCCTAAACTCCACGCTTGCCCATTTCAGCCTGCTGCTCGCAGGAGAATCGGCCGTCAACCAGAAACAGTTGACGCCCCTAGCACGTGTGGTGGCGACGCACGAGGTTGGGTGCGACCCCGCTATCATGGGCATCGGCCCCGTCAATGCTATCCGCGGCGCTCTACAGAAGGCGGGACTTACGCTAGCCGACATGGACCTCGTGGAGGTACGCTCTGTTGCATCTGTCGTTGGTGGCGCAACATGTGCCAATATATTACCATGGCATCACACGGGTATCGATATAATCCCAGATCAATGAACCTCATGTGTCTTCGGATGATGATGCCAAAAATGCCAAAACGATGATATCCATTGCCATGTCCAAGAATTACTTGGACGACACACACACACATCCAAGCTGGAACCTCAACACTGTGCCAAACCACATATGAATAGACCAGGGAGCTATATCTTCTGTACCTTCATTTTGCTGAAACCAGAACTCGTCCAGTGATACTGCTAGATCTCAAGTCTAACGAACCTTGTTCTCCTTCATTCATGCAACAACTTGTACCTAGCCCTCATATTTGCAGTGGGGCATTTGTGAAAGCTGCATGAAGGAAATGTCTGTGTTCCGCCAACCCTAGAGTGACAGCCCACGCGGCGATGTGTTCCGAATCTATTGTGGGCACAGTTTCGACAGCAGCAGCGGATTGAAGTCCGCTGTTCCCCTGCATCTGCACGTATGCTTCATTGACCAACACAGGTCAACGAAGCATTTGCAGTTCAATACTTGGCCGTAGAGAAGGAGCTGGGGTTGGAGCGTGGCAAGACTAACACCAACGGCGGCGCCATCGCGCTGGGGCATCCACTCGGAGCATCTGGGAGTCGGATTATGGCGCACCTCACCCACGAGCTTCGTCGCAAAGGATTGAAGTACGGAGTAGGGGCAGCTTGCATTGGCGGGGGACAGGGAATCGCTGTCGTCATTGAAAATGTTGCCTAGAACGGCGCTGGGGAAATATGGAGTCACAGCCTGATATGGCAGCACTAAAGCCGCCCTCTATAAGTACCAAGTAATCGATGTAGGGCATGACGCACAGGTGAATAGAGTCATGTTTTTTTTCGTCAAATGAGTGCCCAATCCAGTGTGATGCCCATGCAGAGTCGAGAAAAAATCAGTTGACTACAGGCACAACTATTTCGTACCTGGAGAGGGTGTGACTGCCCGCGGACCCCGCGGCGGGCGGGAGATGGACCAAGTGCTCAACAGCACGTCGGTGTTGTCTGTTCCCTCACAAGAATACACATTCAATGTGTGCCGACGAGGGCATGGAGAGCATAGTGCTTGCGGCGAGAGGTAGTAGGCTACGGATTGCGGGTAATCACACCGCATCTTCTCTGCGGGTGAGAGATGAGAGTTGCGTCTCTTCCTCGCGCTGGCTCTCTTTGTGACTGGATCGATCCTAATCTTGGTTGTCGCAGCACCATGTGCGTTTTGTGTACAATGTCGTGGTTCCGCTGGGATAGTTCTCTTCGTGTACAAATAATGAGTTGTGGAAAGTCGATCCACGTCCGAAGATCTCCCGATAGACAAGCGGTCACGCGTTCGAGAAAAACACCCAAATGCCCCCGCGCACACCAGTTTACACAAGCCATATTGTGCTTCCAACGCTGCTGAGTGTTTAGCACCAACTGCAGCGACACCGCACGAGCATGCGATTACACCAAGCAAGGCAAGATTACTATTGCCTCTCCGCATTCGCAACAATATCGGGTGGCGCCTGAACAAGCTCAATCAACACCCCTTCCCCGGAGAGGGGAAAATTCACGTCCCCTTTTGGGTGTATAAAAGCCACATCGTGACCAGAGGCACCCTGCCTAATGCCGCCGGGAGTGAAACGCATTCCTTGCCGTGTCAGCCACTCCACGCACTCGGGGAGTGGATGAACCCACAGCCCGATGTGGTTGAGCGCGGGAGTCTGCACCCTGTACAGCAACGAGGGAGAAAAACAACCACGTGTGTGAGTTGTCGGACTCTCAGACTCCCGTCGCAGGGTCGATATTGCACGCCATGTTCATTCACGGATTGTGTTGTGTCTGAGTCATGACTCACCTTGGAGGTATTGTGGGATCAAGGGGTTCCATCAGATCGATCTCGACAGCATTCACACCATGCCCGAGCTTCAGGATGTCCTCACGGACGTTTTCCTTCTGCTCCCAGAGCCGTGCACGGAAACAAAAACACAGCATGCGCGCGTCCACAAGATGAGCGACAACACTGCTCGAGACCTGCTGAAGGCTCAAGTGACTGCTTCGATCCCCGACGAAGTACGACAAGGCATGATGAGAGGAGTATTTTCTAAACAGCAACGCGTGTACAGCTGACATCACAGAGAGAGGGAGTGACAGAGCAAACGCGATCGTGGCAGAGCAAACGCGATCGTTGCTCTCAGAGTAGACAGCAGCATTGGTTGTCACAACGCTCGCTGGGTGTGCACGTACAACTCAGACAGCGAGCGAGCTCTGGTTGAGAACCAGGGTACTAAATAAAACCCAAACATGAACCTGTTAGATTCATGTTTTCCCACGGGGATCAGTGGGTTGGTTTGGTGTGAAGGAGTGAAAGATGAAACGTTATGAACTGATAGCATTCGATCGAGGGATAACTCAGACAGGCACCACACAATGGGAGTGCGATCGTGCAGCTGTCAATGGAGTACCGTACACACGTAGTTATCCCTCGCCTTCGAAGTCAAAGTCTGATCAAGAATATTGCCCTTAACAAACATGCCAATATCTCAACATACCTGAAGCGCACGGGAAGCCTTTCTACACGGCACTATCCAACTTAGTTCGTGGGGGAATTCGCCGAACAGCGGGGGGCCTGGGTACCACTGGGGCGTCCCCTATTATGACAAGAAGGAAGGGCATCATGTCAATTCCGCTGGGGGTCAATGAGGACGCGAGGTTGCTGCACTGGGTGCTGCGCAAAACAAGAAGCGCAACAACGACATGACACGCCACACGGGAGGTAATGTTACTTTGCTGTGTACCTCAGCGAGCTTTACGGTAACAAGGAGTCCTCTCAAGTTGCATACTCTCCAGTACTCTCAAGACGCGTGCCATCTCGAGGCTTCTTTCTCGCTTACTTTGCTCTCGTACGACCCGACCTTCTCCACCCCAAGCGTGTCACTCCACAGCCGTGCCAAGGCCTGTCCTTGGAAAAAACAAGAGTCATTCGACCGGCACGGGGGAAGGAAGAGGAGCCTACGTACAGTAGTTTTACAATAAAATATACCGGCGATATCAAGGATCTAGCCCCCTACACGTAGCTGTCTTCAGAGCAGAACCTTATTGTGCCCCGCATTTGGAAGAGGGATATCCAAACCGTAGGCTCATACACTGATCCCAAGATCGTGAAATCAATACGTAACGTGTCACCGCATTGAGTACTACAGCGGTATACCTTCTTCTCAAGTCCGCCGATGGCGACCTGCTGCAGTCCCAGAATCTTGAATGGTCGCTCCTATGATATTGAGATCAAGAATCGCATCGCGTCAGCATCATGCATGCCCGTAACCCCGGGCTTCTGTGGCATCTTCGGTCCGCTCTCGTCACTTTCCCTACAGAAGTTATCTCGTTGTCGCACACTCAAGTTTTTACACACTGCATGTAATGCTCGACAGAGGAACAACTACTGCTGTAAGTATCGCGTAGCTCCTGACTGTTCTCTCTGCAGCGTATGTACATGATGCGTCCTCATGTGCCAACATGACACTTCTACCTAACGTGCACCGAACCACCTCCTCATCGTGCAAGTTGCAGGTTGTCCCGACTTCACATGCAGCAGCGGTTGAAATACGTGGTCTCGGGCCCGAAGCTGCCAAAAGCGAGGACAACACAGCACGCACACACATTGATCGCTTCATATCATACGAATCAGCACAGCAGCAGCTACACAGCGTCTCGGCATGTTGTACCTATATACGATCTGATAGATACGCTGTATATCGACATGTGCTCCAGCTTCCCCATGAAAGTACTGCAGTGGATCAGCGGAGTACGAAGGCAGCAGTGCATGCTCTTTGTGCTGCGACAACCAAGCAGCCAATACTGCTGTACATATCAAGATCGATCCAAAGAGCCAGCGCGTAAGATGAGCCGCAACTCGCCTGTAGAGAAGATGGGGTGTGACTACCGGCAATCCGTAGCCTGATAGCTCTCGCCGCAAGCACCATGCTCTCCATGCCTTCGCTTCGTGACACACGTTAACTTTGTCTTCTCTGTGCAAGGGAGCAGGCAAAACGCTGGGACGTGGTGCCCTCGAGCGCTTGCTGGCACTCAAAGACTATGACTATAATCATAGTCTTTGCTGGCACTTGCTCGCACTCCCGGGGGGATCCGCGATCAGGAATTATCTCTCCCGCAGGGACACAGCAGCAGTCAGACCACGGAGGCGTTTATCGTTGATTCAAATTTGAAAATATCACCGTTCACCCTCGGGAGACACGGGCTAGCTTCACACATCAGGCCCTGCAACACTGGAAGCAACAACAGCAGTAGTAGTCCCCAATATTGCATACAGCACACGAAACAGCTATGTCGAGTGGGGATGCGAACTTCGAAGCAGTGCTCGCTGGCCTTCTCTCGCAAGACAACGCCGTGCGGAAAAACGCTGAAGCTGTCTACAACAAGGAGCTCGAGACACAACCGGCGGTAATTGCCGGGCAGCTCTTGCGATGCCTTGCGAGCGCACAGGTGAAGCGACCGCGGTTATTGAACGAAACGCCAGCTCTCTTGCTGCAGATTGAATAGGTTATGACGGGCTCGGGCGGATTATCGCCATGACTGGGGAGCAATCAACTTCTCAGCAGCACACAACGCCCTCTTTATTATTTTTGGTGTGTTCTTGTGGTGTTCTTGTGGAAGGTAACGGCTCCGTGGTTTGGACCCCTGTCCTTCCCCCTCCCTGCTGCTCTCCCGTGGCACAATCAACAGCTCCATCATCCCCAGCTCGTTGCCCCTCTTCCTCTCCCGTTATTTTTCTGTAGGCTGAGCTCATCCGGACGACTTGCGCCGTGCTCATCCGGCGTGTCGTCGTGCCGTCGGGCCCACACTGGTCTCGTCTGGACAGCGCGACTAAGGCTGCCCTCCGCGCGGGCCTTCTTTCGGCTATCGGGAACGAGACATCCAACCCTGTCGCACGCAAGGTACAGCTGTAGTAATGCTTTATAAACGACACACGGGAGAAGCTAACCAACGAGCGTTAGAATCTAACCCCGAACGTGTACCATGCATAGCATCAGAGCAGCCAATGCAATACCTGCTGACACGGCGCCAACTGCTACTGCTTGTTGCGGCAACAGATCTGCCATGCCGTTGCGGCGTCGGCCTCGCCAGATGCAGGGCCGTGGCCGGAGCTCTTGCCAGCGGTAATCTACACTGCACAGGTGATTTTGCTGAGTGGCCTCTACAAGAACCAGCTTGGGACAAGAGGAACAGCTGTAGCTTTAGCCGTGGGATAGGAAGCGTTTCGGGCGTGCCAAATTCAAATTGAAAATTGAAATTTATTCACCCGACGGTAGGAAAACAGAAGCAATTGAAAGTGTTGCTGAGTACCATATGGTACATACAAGTAGGTTGTGAAAATTCAGAAGTGTGTGCTTTGGCACCGCCAATGCGTAGCGTCAAAATATATTCCCTACGGTATTCCCTCAAATACGGTCTCCGGCCGGCATCATGTAACCTCGCCCGGATTGCTTCCAAACAACCCCCTCTTTGAATCCCGCCCCGGGTGCTCATGTTGAACATATGTACACTTGTTTCCATTCGCTGAGCCGCTGCATCGTGTGTGTGCGGTCAACTCTATCCAGTCGGCGGAGCAAAGCAAGAAGACGCTGGCGTTCTTCCTCTTAGGGGCGATGGCAGAGACTTCCCTCGAGACCTTGTCGAGACAGGCATCGTCGCTCATGCAGGTACGTCGGTACTGGCCTGCCTGTGACTTGTGGATGTTTCCTGGCGTGTGTACAGGCGGGAGTGGTTTCCCGCCGCTTTCATCTATTGTATTGGTGAACTGCGCAGCCTTCGAAGGTGTAAGTTCCACTGCCGGATTCGTTCATATTTTGGAACATTTCTCTTCTTCCACTAATATTTGATACAGGTATGGTTGTGAATTTCATCACATGACGCCCTCCCTTACAATGGCTGACTTTTCCCCCACCAAATGTTTTTTGTGGATTGGCGCGCTTACAGATGTGCGCCGAAGCACTCTCAAACCTATCCCAGCTGGCGACTGCCTCTGGCGCCTTCAAGGCCGCGGCCGCCGTGCTTCAGACCATCGTGGACGAAACGGAGCAATCTGCGTTCCATGCGATCCTCCCGCAAATGCTTCAGGTCAGACCTGGCGCGACGCGGCTGTTTCATGGCCAGGCAGGACTGTTTTAGTGTAGCATCTCCTGGATCGAACACAAACATAAGCATTTTTACGCTCTCTGACATACTGTGTAGGTCCCGCAGCTTTAGTCTGACGGCCAATGTTGTGCACCTCTATCGGGTGGTGTTTGTGCAGGTGCTGAGTGCGGTGCTGTCGGCTGGAGAGGAGCTGGAGGCCCAAGAAATGCTCGAGTCCCTCGTCCAACTGGCCGACGTCTCGCCCTTGTTCTTCCGGACAAGTGTGGTAAGTGAATACGAAAGATGTCTCGTGTCATCCGGCGGTGTCACACTGATTTCAAGTCCCGTCGGCACCCTTAAGCTGAAGCTTCCGAGATACAGTAGCACGAGACTCACTTGTATGTCAGTCGCCGCACGGCTCAGTTTTTTGCGAGTTTTGTCACATGGATGGCCTGGCTCTAGATCTTACAAACACCGACCCCCCCTTTTTTTCTTTGGTTGACCAGGCGCCCTTGTCGGAGGCAATGCTTGCGGTGGGCTCGGCGTCTCAGCTGGAGTTTTGCACCCGCGCCGCTGGTGTGGAGGTGCTTCTCAGTCTCGCCGAACGCGCGCCCGCGATCATGCGCAAGTGCTCCTCGATCGCGCCGGGCGTGCTACCTCTCGCTATGGCGTTGACTTGCGAGGTGATGACCAATATGAATTCGTCGCCGCTACATATGCGTAAGTGTGCTGCTCGAAAACGTGCTATTTCCATGGTTGAGCTTCAGGTGCCAACAGAAATGACGTACCCAGCTCTCCCGTGGGAAGGAACTCATAGTAGTTTGTTATTCGGGTCATTCTTTCTCCGTATCTCCATTTCTGTCGCTCAGGATTATTTTTTCTTACGTCTCTCCGCTTATTCGGTGACCCACCCCAGCTGGACGAGGACCAAACCGACTGGGTTGCCGGTCCGTACGATGACGACGTGGATCACGACGAAGAGGCTGCATACGGCGTGGAGGCCATGTGTCGAATCATTGCCGCTCTGCACGGCAAAGCCACGATGCCAACGGCCTTGCAGCTGGTGCCCGAGGTACGCGCACAGAGCCTGTTCTCTCTATCTCTTTCTCTCTCTTTCTCTCTCTCTCTCTCAGCTGTGTGACGTCGACGAGAAGCCTCGTGAAGGCATGCATGGCTTTTTGGGAACTGTGATTTGACATGTCTTCTTTTTTCGTGCGCGCTTCCACAGTACCTAGCAGGAGCGGATTGGCGGCAACGACGGGCTGGTCTCTGTGCTTTGGGTGCTCTCGCGGACAGCGCCACCAAGACATTTAAGGTGACGGTGATGGTCATAGTGATGGCATCGATTTTCAGAGCAGGATTGGAATTGCCGCTGCACGCGTTTAGAGAGTGCGAAGCGGTCATCACAACAACGAGCGGAGATGGATATCTCGTGTCGAAAGTTAACAGCAGGGGGCGTACGAAGCTTGAGCAACAAGCGGCACGGCACCTGTGACAACCTCATGTACGCAAGAGCAGGGCTATAGCATTCTCCTAAGTTGGCACTCAGTTTGGTGGTTGCCCTCTTTCGGACTGGAACAGGAACACCTGCCGTCCGTCGCCGAAGCTGCCATCTCCCTCTTGGTGGACCCCAGCCCACGAGTGAGGTTCCAAGCGCTGCAGCTCACCGGAAGACTCAGCGATCTATACCCCGTAGACTTCCAGGTGAGACTCTCATACTTTCACAGCAGTATACACCTAATTGGCACAAGTTGTAGTCGTGCCGGAATTGTTGCCAATTGCTCAGCAGATATTTAACGTTTGTGTTATGCCGGCACCCTGGCAGCATCCCTCTGGGCTGATATCATGTACACCTAATCGCGTCTTCGTTGTTGGCTGTTGGTAGGGTGTATACCACGAGAAGGTGGTCCCCGCGGTGTGCGGACTGGTGTCCGGACCCTCGCAGCCTGTCCGCGTCCGCGGCCACGCGGCAGCAGCCATCGTCAACTTCGTCGACACGGAAGACGTCCCCGAAGAAGCCGTCACCCCGCACTTGGACGCTCTACTGTCGGCCCTCTGCTCGTGCTTGAACGGGGGCGTGCCGCAGTCTGTTCAGGTGCGTGTGTACATTTCTCCGCGTGCTCGTGTTGGGTTTTGTGTGTCAGCTCTGAATCTGTGATCGACAAGCATCCGTAAGCGCGCCGATAGAAAGAGACTCGTCAAAGATTTTCCTTCAATCGTATCTGACAATTTCGCTACGTCGTTTAATATTGTTCGATGTGCAGTTTACATGTCTCCGACGGGCAGCCCCCCCCCCCTGTCACCTTTACATTAACAAACCTTTTGTTCCGAACCATGTTTCCTCGTTCGAGCAGTGCCGTGCCCTAACTGCGGTGGCATGTGTGGCAAAGACGGCTGAAGCAAAGTTCGGCAAGTACTACGACTCGTTTATCCCGGGCATCAAGGAGATCGTCCTGGCGGCCGCCCCTAAGGCCGGCACCGATCCTCAGGTGCGTTGGGTCACCAGCGAACGGTAACTTGTCCAAAGGCGAGCAGCGTACTTCTAGTAGTCGGTGGCTTCGCACGGGTCGGCGCTTTGCAATGCGCGGCAGTGAGGACTACTGCAATTCCGAGTTTTCCCATGGGCCATCTGTCCCGCGTTTATCACTCGCGACACATGGGCATCCGTCTAAGACCCGCCGTTCGATTTCCCCTTTGACTTTTGTTGGTCTCTCTGTGGAGCAGAACGACTTGCTCCTGGGCCAGGCCATGGAGTGCGCAGGGATGATTGGAGAGGCTGTGGGCAGGGCCCGCTTCAAATCAGATGGATTGGCTATGATGAGTACTCTCATGGTGAGATCACCAACGGTATCCTGTGCGTCAAGTCAAGCCCTTGGTGTTGACCATCTGTTGTCAATTTACAATGTGCAAGCACGATTGCGTTGTAGTTGCAGTTCGCAGCAGTGCGTGCTATTTCCCTCATAGGCAAGACTTGAGGTAATGCCAATCGTTAGGGTTGCAAGATTGGCGGATATCGCTACCTGCGGGTCTTCGACTCATGTCTGTCTTGTCTACCGGCGTTCCCTGTCTCTTTGTTGGTCTCCCTCCTGCGTTGGCAGGAGCGACTCGGGAAGGGTGGCGTGGATGGGCACAGCCAGTTTATCTTCGAGCACGTGGCCCCCGCGTGCGGCAATCTGTGCCGCGCCCTGGGAGAAGACCTCGCCATGTTCCTGCCCGTGGTACTGCCTCCTCTCTTCGCGGCTCTTGAGGAGGAGGTGAAGTTCAGCATGGAGGCGGCTGACCCGGATGACGACGGGGAGGTGAGGAGGCGTGTTTCGACAACGGAGCTATTGTAGCTTCAAGGTTGTCACCGGGGGCGTCTCTGTCTGCGTATTGCTGTATTTCCTTCTTTTGTCTTTCGTCCGGAAAAATAGGTCTTGATACACACGTGTAGTTGTATCAACCGTTGAAGCCGCAGTGTAGAGAGTAGGGTGTACGCGAATGTGCTGATCAAAGATTGTTACAGCAGTACCAGTGCTAGGAGCTCATGACGTAATGTCTGACGGTTCTTTCTGTGCGAACCGATTCTTTCTGGGAAACAGGAGTGCGTCACGGATGAACAGACCGGCACACAGACAGCTGTCCTGAACATCCGAGGCCTGGGTGCGCAGCGCGTCACCCTCAGCACGTTCGCCATCGCGAGCAAGCAAACCGCTGCACGGTGAGCGAGCTTCTTCAAGAATGTAACCCCCAAGCTACACGAGTTATAGTCTTGTCTTATGCGTGCCGCGGCTGATTTCGTTACAACAAGAGCAAGACATGCCGTGTTCTAACTCTGTACCGTGAGCATACCCTTACGCGGTTGCCGCATCATCGTTTTTGTCTGTTTTCTGTGACCGCACGCAATCAGGCTACTGTTTGAGTACGCCGGTGCCCTGGAAGGAGCGTTTCTCCCCCACGTACCGGCCTCCGCCTCGGCTCTCATCCCAGCGGTCACTTTCCGGTTCAACGAGGAAGTCCGCTCTGCCGCCGCCCTGGCCTTGGCTAAGGTTAGAAGCGTTCCGGAAGGCATTCTTGAAAGCCATCGTCATCTTTGTTTGCCGGGGGTCTCCCGATTTTTTCCTTGCGTCTGTTGAAAGGTGGCAGCTGAGCAGTTCACACCACAAATAATGAGTCGAACGTCAGTTGGTCTGTGTTTAATTCATGTCGTTTCCTCGCACGAAGACAACGTATGGCAGCTTTCCGAACTGGTTTATGCTAGCAGGGAAGTGGCCATGACACTTGGACCACGCGCGTACGACCACTGTCTTGGGGGTGACTTCCTTGGCATCGATCGCTCTTCTGACCCTTCCCTTTTGTCTTGGTGATATTCAGGTATACACTAGCTCGCTGCAGGCAGATGTGTCGATGGCGTCTCAGCTGCTCTCGCCTTGCATCACCGTGCTTCTGGAGGGTCTGCAGGGGGAGTCCCAGGACGAGGTACAGTACGGTAGGGATGGTGCATGGCCGACCCTTTTAAAAAGTCGGAGGTGGTCGTTTGACACGTTCGTTGCCTTGACCACCGGGCCGAAAATGTCCGGCCTCAGCAGCTCCGACACAGCAACAGTTCTAGCACGGCAGTTCTGACGTTTCGTGCACGTGGCAAATGCAGAGAATGTAGTTCAGTTATCCAATAATATTCGCAACCCTTGTTTGCGCTATCGATGCGGATATTTTCACTGGCTGAAAGAGTTCGAACTGCATATAGACTAAAGCGTTCGGGTTTTGGGCTCCGATTTGTCATGAGCGCATCATGCCTCGCTCAGATCTACCCCTACCTCATATCCTGGCGTACTGCTTGGCTCTCTTGTTCCCTAGGCACGCACCTGCATGTCGAGCGCGCTACGAGACGTCCTGTGCGCTTGCTACGAGAGCGGTGGTACCGACGAAGCCACCGGATCGCAACTACCACCCAAGATGCAGGTACGAGAGACGGTCCATTTCTTCAGTCTCTTGCCGTCACGTTTCCCTTACCTGTCCCTGTTCCGCCTGAAGCACTGCACTGAGCCACGATGTTGAAAGTGAGTGGTTTGTGGAGTACGTACGTGTAGCGTATGAGGTGCCGTGTATCTGCGTTGGGCCCATTCATCGCACTGCAGCACCCTAAACACGGCGGTCTTAACTCCGTCTCCCACCGAAACTTACCTACCCAGGCGCCCATGGAGGCAGCTGCCGCCATCTCGGAACAGCTCGTGGCGCGAGTCAAGGCAAGCTTGGAGCGCCGCGTTGCAAAGGAGGCTGAGTTCGAGGGCGAGGGTGCCTGGGACGAGGAAGACAACGATCTCCTCGAGGAACAGATCGCGCCGGAAGAGGTACGTATGTGTTTAACTCGAGCGGTGCCGTTCTTTTATGGTATGCTTATGTACCAAGTTCCACCACAGAAGTGCACGTGCTTGTTTCCGTGCCTTGGGCCATGGTCAGTCGGCTGTGGCAGTCGCAGTTACCAGCATGTTGTTGGGAGCTTATCGTCGTTCGCACCCTGCGTTTTCCATGGTCGTTCGCAGGAAGTGATGGAGCACCTCGTAGACTCACTGGGTTATCTCCTCAAGGGGCACGGCCCTGCTTACCTCAATGTATTCGACACGGTCACCGCTCCTGTCTTCGGTGCGTTGCTGGAGAGCTCGCAGCCCGCGTCCCTGAGGTGGGTAATATAATCGTTAATGAATATTTTGTATAGGGAACATGCTGGCAGTCGTTAGTCTTGAGGGATATTGCCAGCGCGTTCACACAGCCAGCCTTCCCTCAGCCTTTCTCCACGCCTGAAGTTCGCTCCAACGCTGAGACCTTCACAGCAGTGATCTCACTACCCCCCATGGACGCACCCGTTATTGATACCTACCCTCCTTTACTAATCTCTAGCTGGTTCTGTTCATGTGCTCTTTCGCAGGTGGAATGCCGTCTGTGTATTCGACGACTGCGTCGAGCACTGCGGAGAGGGAGCGCACAAGTACCTCCCTGCTTGCTTCCCTGCATTCATGGCAGGAATAATGGAGGTACTACCGAAAACCCCTCAATGGGCGTCTTCTCTCTAATGCAGGAAGGAGACACTTTTTGTAACGTCCTCGACGTAGGTAGACAATCGACAAATGCACGCTCTTCGCTTTGCACCAACACGAAAAACTGTTGGCGCGTTGCGTGGCAAGGCGTACATAGATATCAAGTCTCTTCCACACGACAAAGACGCATGGTCCATCTGCTTCTCCCACGTTCGGCAAGGATTCTGTGTTGAACACATGGTGAATACCAGTTGGATGTTTCAAAGCGCTACGTTCAGATTTGATCATTTCCGCACCGAGACGTCCAACGTTCAATACATCCCTCCCCGTACTCTTTTTCTGCGCGCGACTCTGGACCATCGTTGCCCTCGTTTGAATTCCACAGGAGTCGAGCCCGACGTTGCAGATGGCATCGGTGTACGGCGTGCAGCAGACTGCCAAGCACGCGCCTGCTTTCATTTTGCCGAGGGTGGCGGAGGTATGTGATATTCTAGCTTGCATGTCGTTTGTCTCGATACAGTCGCAAGGACAACGGCTTGTCAAAATGGCTGCTGAACATCTTCCCAATTTTGCAACGCGGTAAGGACTCTTTCCCCCACGCTGCTTTTAGTCGGCAACTCGAGAAACTCGCCGATACACTATATACAAGACGCTGTCCGATTGAAAGTAGAGGTAGCCCGTTGTATTAGTATCTAATCCGGCTGATGTTATCTTGTAACCCTCCATACCCCTCCTCTCTGTTGCACCTTCAGGTCGTGCGACACCTCGTGCACCTCATCAACCGTCCCGATGCGAAGGACGAAGACAGCCTCCTAGTCACCGAAAACGCCGTCGCAGCTCTCGGGACGTTGTGCGTGTCGCCCGCGCTGTCCTCGGCCGTGGATCGATCGCAGCTTCTTCCGCTCTGGTTGTCCCACCTCCCTCTTAAGGAGGTACGTTGTTGAACGGCGTGGATGCCCCTCGATCCCGCGTAGGAGTCGCTGCATGTTTTCGGTGCATTCCGTGAACCTGAAGGCGTTGGCTGTGCGCTTTGGCTCTCTGGCACGATCCAGTTGGAGGCGTCGCTTGTTTTCGAACGGTTCGTGCTCGGAAGGTTTTGTCGAGTCCAACATGGGAAGCTGCCCTCTCACCATCGCTTGATCTTTTCACCTTTCAACAGGATGAGACGGAGGCCCGCGTCGTCCACAGAACGCTCTGTGAGCTTGTGGAGCAGCAAGACCCAAATCTGCTCGGTAACAACCTGGGGAAGGTGCGTCGGCTCAAGTTAGATCGGGTTTCCACTTGTGCCACCCTCCTCTTTGTACGTACTGTATCACGTCCTTATCAATTGGTGTTAGCGCTTGGACCGTGTACACCCGTCCTTGTTTTCGGTTCAGCACGATTCCTTTCGACCCCTCACGAAACACACATGTCGACTTTTTCCCACGAGGCTACACGTTGGCCTCTATGAGAACATTTTTCTGCATTTGACTGGCGTAAACCCATTCTTTCTGACGAAAAAATGGTTTCGCTCTCACGTATCCGCGTTGGTCACAACGGAATGGCTTGACAGGTTTCTCTGGTGGTCAGCGTACTGGGCCAGATCCTGGAAGCGTGCTTGCTCGACCCGGACTTGGCAATCGTGGATGCTACAACGGGTCGTCGCATGGGTCGTATCCTTAACGGAATGCAAACGTCTTACCCCACGGAAGTAATGGAGAAGGCGTGGGGGGGCTTGACGCAAGGACAAAAGGCTGCCATTCAACAGGCGTGTTCCTGACCCGTGATCACTCCTGCGGTAGTTTCAGGCCTTAATCATCGTGCCCGTTTTGAAGAAGTGCGCATGGCAACATTTTTGGTTCACGCTATTGCCATGCATACCTAGGGGCGGTTTTTCCAAGCAGTGCAAGGATTCGCCCATCACCGCCTTGTCACTTTACTCGATTGTAGAATTTTTTCAACATGTACACAGCAGGTAAACAGTTCAGTACCCGGACGATTTGAGGCTGGTGGCGTCTCATGGTTTTTTCTTGGTTCGGTCTTTAGGTTATGAGTGTGTTGGTGTTTTTCGTGTTGCTGCTCTCTTTGGGCCTCTTCGCTTGTATGATAGTACTGATGAGTACACATCCATGTGGTAAATATCGTTTGCAGAGCTGCGATTAGCTTCTCCCGACTTGGGCTATGACGTAGCGGCAAGGGGATTGTTGAAACGGTGCCGTTGCACATGGAAGGTTGCCTTTTCGACCGTTGTTAAGCCCAGAACGCTTTCGCAAGAAAGGAGGACAACGTTTAGGTGCCCCGAAATTCCCGTTGCGCATTGCAACCCCCCCGCTACCTAGAACATCTTATTCGGATGAAAAATGCGCTCATTGCGTGTCAGAACACCGCACAGGGGCGTTCACGCTGACACTTGGGACCGTACAGACGGTGTGAAGTGAAAGTTGCAATCCTCTTGTGAGGACAAACGACTTGTTTATCCACCCACATTTTTTACAATTATTAACAACGGCTTGCAAGCAGCGTGCAACATCACGAGTATCTAAAACCGTGCCCTCCGCCCACAATTTACCCACGTACACATTTGTCTGTAGAACGCGCTACCCCACCTAAGAGCCGCTTGTATTGCCCGAGAAACGTTTCGTATTTTCTCTGCCGGGTTCTTGACTGAGCACCTCTTCATAAGGGCAAGTGCAATCAAATTTCTAGTTCTATTATATTGAGCCACAAGTTCTCAACTCCCAGGTCCTCTCTATACCCGGCCTCGATAGGATTTATCGACGTGAAGACCCGCCAAATCATACGTGGACCCGCCAATTGGTCTCAACATGCATGACAACCCGGCGCATAAACACAACAAAACCGTAGGCCTGTTTCGTTTCAACTGTCAGCAGCCAAATGCAATGGAACCCCGTTCTCGCAGCCACAAACGAACACGTTTCCTCGCAAGGAAGATCACTGGGCTTGCATGCAAACGACGGAATTGCCAAAGAACGACTGCAAGAGGGAACCAACAGCACGTTCGGCCTTCAACACCGTGGGAATTTCGTTTGCAGGAGCAACAGCAAAACCGTTCTTTTCGTAGAAAGGTACCGTTGATTCCAGCGTAAGAAGGAACAGGTTTCGGATCTGTCCGGGATCAGCAAGAGGCACGCAAGAGCGACAGCGATAGTGGTGGGGAGCATGCATCAGTAGGAAAGGAGAAGATAATATCCGCAGAATATGTTTACCATGCCCTGCATCCTGATGTGTTAAGAAATGTGCAGCCGCTGTGCTAAGATGTTTGCATGCTTTGCTGGAAACAACTGGTTCCAACAGCTGAGCAGAGAGGTCACCTCCCACTGATTATACCTGTCCTTCTCCGTGAGTTGACACGTAGCCTTTCACGAGTTGCCGCACGACGCTACTCCCAATCCCACGGCCTCGATAGGATTCATCGACGTGAAGACTCGCCAATTCATAGCTGGACCCGCCAATTGGTCTGACCTTTGAGAATCGAGGGGCGCGAGGGGGGGGGGGCGATAGGCGTTTTCCAGGGCAATGGTGCTGCTGTAAGGCTGAATCTTACGTCTTGATTTTTTCCGGATTGGATTTGGGGGGGGGGTCCTTTTCTGACACCCACAAATTATTCCGGGCGTCTTACGGGTAGGAAAATGGCAAATTCCAACAGCCCAAAATCCACAGCGCAAATTCCAATAGTGATTCCGGCCGGCCTGTTAGAAAATTGGCCCATTTTCCAACAGCGATCGGGTTGGAATATCGCTGTTAGAAATGGGGGGGGGTTACCCCCTGGTCACACCCCGATCGTGCCAGAACGAGGAACTACACCGTCTGCTGGCCAAACAGAGGCCAGCATCATGAGGTCATGCACACTCCCTCTGCAGGTATCTAAAATTCAGGGCGTTCTGCGTCGTGTTGGCCGCACGCGAGCCGAAAACGTCAACCCTGCCACATTGCTCTGCTGAGGTTCTTGCCTTTCGGCCGAAAAGAGCCATTTTTGCGCCTACTGCATGTGTGACCAGTTGAAAACGCACGCCAGAGAGAGGCCTTAAGCCGTCGACATTCACAAACTGCAGGCGATGTGGTCATACTCATACCCTCTGCTCGCGTACCAGAAACAGAGCGTATTGTCCAGTTTTGATTGCACACGGCCTGCAAACGTGAACCAAAGTGTGTTGCGGTGTTGACTTTTGGCTTTTTCTTGTTCCGCCGCGTGTTTGCTCTGTGCGTCACCCGCGACCAGTCAAAAACGCATGCCAGAGAGAGGCCTTTGGCCGACGACATCCACAAACAGCAGCCAGTGGCGTGTGGTCATACACATGCCCTCTGCTCGGGTCCCAGAAACAGAGCGTATTGTCCAGTTTTGATTGCACACGGCCTGCAAACGTGAACAGAGGTGTGGTTCGGTGTTGCCTTTTCTTGGACGTTGCCTTTCTTTCTGCTGCTTGCTCCGAGTCGAGTGTGATCAGTGTACAACGCGTGCCATCAGAGAGAGGTCTTTGGCCGACGACATCCACAACCTGCAGGCGATAGCGTGCCATGATACACATGCCCTCTGCAGGCGACCCATAAACAGGGCGCTCGGTGTCTTGTTGGTCGCACGCGAGCCAAAAACCGTGTACTGAAGCATGTTGTGACCCACAAGAATATGAATCAGCCTCTTTTTTCCCGTCAGAAAAAAATATACCTCGAGGAACGGTAAGACGGTCGCTTGGATCTTGATAATTTTTTCCGTGCAGGCCACCCCCCCACGACCGAGAGAAAAAAAAAATCTCCGAAATAATCAAGCCGTAAGACTCGGCCTAAGCCAGCACTGGATGACACCGGCACGGAAAGCAGAGTGGTGGACGATAGCCGCAGCCGGAGCGTTCACATCACACGCTGCGCTTAAAACCGCGAATTCGAAGCCGCATGGGGTCTCAGTCTGCAAAATGTAAACAGACTGAAAGGTCAAGCAAACATAACAAGATTTGCTCCCACATTTGACGAGCCACCAAGCTTGGAGCCGCGCTGATTATCTGGGAAAGATAATCAATCGTAGAAATATCAGTAGCTTCCGCTGACGCTATGAATTCACTGTTAATCTATCTTAGACTCTTTGCTATGGGTCGCTATAGCTTTGTTTCGTCATAATTGTCTAGTCTAAGGGAAAACAACAAAAATAAAACACAGCGATCGACCTCGTGGAAATTCGTAACGGTCTCTCAGAGCCCCTTGACTAGCACGGACTTCGTCACGTGGATTGCCGCATGCATACACACGCGAGACAGCCGTTCAAACATTTTTCGTTGGGCATTGAAAAACTATGTAACTCGGATACGCGACCACACACATCTTGCGTGTTGTATGTATTTTTGCACATACCCTCCCGCCTGCCTACTCTTGCTTTCAGTTCCCCCGGTGTTTTGGCCCCCCTCAAATATGACCAAATGACAACCACCAAACGGCAGAATATTTAATATTATGCGAAATACCAATTTGCAGCATTTAGGTCACAGACGAAGCACGCTCCTCACCTGACCAAACCCAACGAGAGCCCCCTCTTGTTCAGCGCAAATGAAGTTGCTGATATCGATAGACATAGGATTCATCAGCATTCCGACAAGGATCTTCTGTATAGTGCCTTGCTCCGTTTTCGCCGCCGGGCGAAAATGCAGCTCGCCGGGTGTAGTCGGCTCTTGTGAAGCGTACCGGCAGGTAGCTGCCGAAGGGACCGCTAACATGATCTGCGAGAAAGGAGGTGTCAAGAAGGCAGATGCCACCCCTAGCCAAGCAAGGAGATTGAATATAAGCTGATGTTGCATGGTACTCCTGTGGCGTTTTGTCTTCTCTCTTTACTTTCCTCCCCTTGTTTGTCTTGCGCGCTGAAGGTCGTGCAACTTCAATACATCCAAATTCTCGCTCCCTGCCCGACGATGACAGTGCTGCCAGAGCAACACGCCTCCCTACATTTTGTTCACGCATTTCCCCGGCACCCCCCCTTGTGTGTGTGTGTCGTTAGTGGTCAGCGTGCAACACATGCGCCACCTAACTGCCATCGCCAAGATGTATGCCAGTTCTTCGTTCGTTGGTGGGTGCCTGACTAGCGTGCATTATGTTCTAGCGTCGTACAGCGATGCCAAGTTGCAGCAACTCAGCTCAACTGTCGTTAATTGTACAATATAACGGCCAAGGACGCCGGCGGGATTTTTGCTGTTCATGTGTAAGAGACACAGCAGCACTACAGCAATAGTGAGGGACTAAGGGCAACAAAGGTCACCCCTCATGGCAAAAGCTGGTTCCTCATGCATAAGGGTATACCGAGATATTTGTTAATCTCACTTTCGCTAAAGATCGATGCCATTCATGCCAGAACTAAACACAGTGAGAGAGCCAGTGCGGTCGCTTATCCTTGCCTCGACGATACCGCCGTGTGGGTTTGAAGGGTTTGAAGGGTTACTTCACATACTCAATTGCGCGCGTTCAAGGCTTAACAGAAATTGCTTGTTGACCAACACGAAGGTTCGAGTAAACGGGCTGTTTGTTCAATGTTGGAGATTACTGCTGTACTACTCCTATAGTGTACCGCGGGACGAAACGTGGCGTCTTCCCCAAGCCTTGCATCCTCTTATGCATATTAGAATAGGTGTTCACAGAGTAGATACGCTCCGCGGAGTGTTCTTATTTTAACATCATTACGACGAAGCGGAAGCGGAGCAATGTTTTTACACGTTGCAAGGTCACGGAGCGGAACGGTACTGTTCGTCCGAGGGCAACACTCTCACGAAGTGTGACTTCTTGGAAACAATAAAAGGTCTCGGTTAAGGCTATGTTCTGTATTACAATCAAGTGAAGCCACGAAGCCGCGGCCTTAGTAACGATGCACTGTCAGAGAAACACCGCCGAAACCACACAGATATCCGTAGGAATTGACAGAGCACCCGCGAATTGTGATATACTTAGGGTTCCGTACACATCAAAAGGATTTTGTAGCGCCGCTCGTTGAGGCCGGCAGCGACACCGTCCGCCTCTTCGTTACCAGAAACAAGCCCAAACAAATGGAAAAGCCATCAACTCATCTTTCGTCTGATTACTTTCTCGCGTAGTAAATACCTTTGCCCACATCGATACCTACCTGATGACCAATACGCTCCTGCAACAACAGCAGTTAGTTACGTTCCTTTCCATTCTGCATGCATGCGGAGTCTGTAGCCCTTGTTTGTAGGTCCTCATCACTCACTTGTTGAAGATATATGTGCACCTTAAGTCATTCTGTTGCACTCGCTCAGATTCGCCCTCGACAAACATACCCAGATAGCTTTGCAACTGACGGGCTACCCCAACTCACAGTATTGGTATGCTATTTGATATTCGGGATGCCCGCCGAGTTGGACCTGAGGAGTTCGGTTTGGCGTCATTCTCTGCCGACGTGTACACGTTCCACAAACCGGAGTAGTCTCTCTGAGTGGCAGCTAGTGCTGTCAGCGCTAAGTAATTGACGTCTTGGCGAACAACCATGAATATTAAAATAATTGCATGGACTGCCGGTATCGTGCCAGAAATCGTGGTTCGTATGCGTGACAAGGTTCTTGGCGCTTTCGCGCTACCGCTCACATTGAGCGACCCCAAGGCAAAGGTCAATAGAAATTGCAGAGGCCAGGCAACGTGAAAATCCTCTCACCACTGCTGTGTTGCATTGTGTTGAACGGAGAATACACGTAATTGAAGGATCAGGCCAGGCGTTGCATCTAGACTTCATATATATATACATTTGGAAGAAGAGGATACTTGAAATTTTTACTGGCACTTGTCGCGCCGCCGCCATGCTGAGTACATCACCGAGTTAAACGTAACTGTAGGCCAGAACGAGGACGGACGCAACAAAGCGTTGTTTGTCTGACACAACTGAAGGTTGAGTGCCATCAACGAAAAAAACAAAGAGTTTACCCTACTTGTCAGCACGTCGTCCCTAAATGATTATTGTAGATTTTCGGGTCATTGGCGCTTCCCGCCGCCGCCGAACGAAGAGAATCGATTGTCTTCTTGTTGCTCACTGAAAATCGTAGAGTGTCAATGTTATGGAAGACAGATGATGAACGAGTGAGACCGTGCGGCAGCGAGAGTATAGACGGCATGATGGGGGGAAAAGGGAGCAATGGGAAGAAGAGGGCCTGCCCACGTCGTCAATAGATTAAAATGTGTGCCCAACGCGGGGTGTGCCCGTCATCAGTGTGCCCAGCTTGCAATGCGAACCGAAGAGCTCCGCAGAATCGGAACTTTTATCGAGAACAACGCTTTAGTAAAGAAATGCTGCGCTGTCAGGCGCCTAGAAAGGGGCAGAGGAGCGCCGAAAGAGTAGGAAAATCCGGAAAATAAAGGAAGAAAAAGGAATGGAGCCATTTAGGATCAGCAACAAACTGAAGAAGACTAATGTTAACGGCACTGTTTTTACGTTTTTACCCATGCCGAGACTTTAAAACACTGCCGATGTGCATAAGTCGCAATGATACGTGAATAGTGACATGCATGAGAAAACAACTTGGTCCACCCTGTTGGTGCCCGTTGTCGCACGGCTTGTTTGTTTTCATTTGAGCAGGTCATTCTCTGTGGCTCATTCCGAAAGAACCAGCGCGGTCGAACATCCAGAAAGTCATTGATCACCACAGCTCGGAGCAAAAGACAGCAAACTTTCGCGCCCATGTCACTCTCATCGCTGGACTGGAACCCGAGGGCGGAGAGGCGGAAGTTTTAGCGAAGGCGGAGAGTCTTGCACTCAAGTTAGGGCCCATATCTGCACGTGTGGAGCGTACCGCGTGCATGGATCTCTACTTTAAGAGCGTAAGTATTGCTGCATTGGCTGACTTCGTCAATGCTTGTGTGCATATTCCCCACCAACGTATCCGGAAATCTTTCACGCGGACGGACACATGTGTTGTTTTCGAAGACTAGATCGCGTGGCCGCATACTGGGTCTCCCTTTCCGCAAAAATGGTATTGTTCGTTAGATGGGCTATCCTATCTTTAATGCCTTCATTCAGGGTGTTTATTGGTCTAGTAGGTTAGCCCATCCAACGAACATAACGTCTGCGGGAGTTTGAATCTCACCAGGTGTGTCACGACTTTTTTCTACCAGAGGAAAGGAGCACAGTAGATAAGATAACGGGAGGTGGGGATTGGACCCGCCAAACCACTGTGACCCAGCTCAGTAGCGTTTAGCGAGGGGGGGATGAAGGCGAGTAGAAGGTAGAAGAAGAGCTGGAAATCCCGGAAAAAGGTGTACACCTGGCGATATGGAAACGAATCCCGACCAGCATCTCCTCGTGCGGTAGATGGGCTAACCTACGCTACTACCGTCTGCACACTCAAGACAGCTGAATTATTGACGGTCTGGTAGGTCGGTCGGTCCATCTATTGTAACGCACGGACTGTTATATCTTGGTGCGGTCGATAAAATTGGTTTGGGACAAACACGTCGAACGCTGTTGGTGTTCGGCCTCTCAACCTGGGGCTTGGCGGCATGCGATTGTCACAGGTGTTCGCTCTGCTCGAACGAGACCCAGCTCTCCTCGATGCCCACAAGGTTGCCAGGGAGGCGTTTGGGCAAGATCCGAGCGACGGCAGTGACTTCATGCCCCACGCGAGCCTGCTCTACGGTGATCTGCCGATGTCCACTCGCGAAGCTATTCGACAGGAGGCTGGCGTCGGCCTGGTGGATCCGGGCATTACACTAGAGTTTGAAAGCATTCAAGTGTGGTCTACAATAGGAGTTGTAGCGGAGTGGAAGCCTTTGGCTACCTTACCTATAGGGTGATCTACAGGCTTCTATCTCCCAGTTGAATACCGGGACGGCCGCTTTGTAGCTCCACCGTTTGCCGTTGCTTTCCAACCAAGGCGCAGAAGCATGCAAGCCCAATGCTTACTTACAGCGTTTTCGTTGTCGAGAAGGCAGAATAGGGTCGACAACTTTCGTTTGCCCGCAGCGTTTTAAACAACAGGTATGTAGGTGGATGGACCAGCACCGACTGATGGCCTCCGCGGTGCGCCATGCCATGCATCTCCAAAGAGGCTTTCAAACGTGTTGGATTCCGCCTACCCATGTCCCGCCAATCCACCAATCTATCAATCCCCCTATCGGTGTACTGGGTTTCGGAATATTGGGTTGACCAACTGTAACTTTTCTCCTTCATGACTTTACCTTCGCCCCCTCAGTTATAAACGCAACAAGACCTCGCGAAAAATGCTCGTGCTTTGAACCTTCCATTGCTTTAGCGCCGTTTTCCTTTGCCCGGTCGAGAGGCCTTCTTTCTGGCTTTGGAAGCCTTTCTTCTATCTCTTCGATTTTTTGGTCCTTGGGCCAAAACATCATCCTTCGTACCAGCACCCGGCAGCAACCCTTCGGATTTCAGATCTGCAAGGAAGCCATCTAGGCGTTCCGCCTCTGCGGCATCTCCCAGGGGCTTCACACTAATAGCCTCCTGTGGCTCCACACTACCGGCTGCGGAAACTGACTCCGCCGATTCTACCCTGGGGGACTTTGCAGAGTCAACCTCTGGAGGAGGATGTAAGGCCTCCGTATCAACGCTCCCTTGTGATCCATCAAGACTCGCGGGCAGAGGTACAGGGGCCTTAGGCGGTCCATTGGAGGTGATATCTTTGGCGGGTCCCGTACCCTCCGTTGAAGTTGTCTCGTCCAATCCACTGCCAACGCCAAGGTTCGCCGAGACAGGTAAGCTGGGTTCGACATCCACCGACCCGGTGGAGTCCGAGTCCTTCAACTCCAGCACTGGGTCATACGGCTCATCTAAAATTGACGAGTCCTCCAGCGCGCTGAAGATGAAATTCAAAGCACTTCTTTCCACCTGGGTGAGTTGCGGGTGCCAAAATCTAACCAACAAAATGATTCGGTCGGACGAAGCGTCGTTCCTTGTCTCGTGCACAAAACTCGAATCAAAGGTGACCACTCTGTCCTCCTGCCACTCCCGCTTCTCGTCCGTGCCAACCCTTATCCAGCACCCCCCTCCGTCGGGCACTTCCAGCGGAAGGTGAGCAGTAACGAAGAAATTGGAGTTATCCGTGTGGGGCTTTATGCCTGACCTCGCACGTTGTCTGGCAAAGAAAACTTCGTGAGAAGGGGCGCCACAATCCTCCAGTATTGCACAGGTCATGGGAAAACGACTGCAAGCTACCGAATCCCAAACACGATTCTGCAGGACCATCTTCTGCCAGCCCGGTCCATACGCCTCCGCGTCCTCCTGGGCTGCAGGGACCCATTCAGCACTATCACCAACATTTTCGGAAGAGGGGCGGCGAAGCTCGTCCCGAATGATACCAGCGTTTTTCTCCAGTGCGGCTATCCACGGATACCGAGCGACGTTGTGCCATGGCTCCGCCTCCAAGCCTTCAATGTAGGAGGCCGCCACTTGTGAGCCCTTACCCTCCCATTTCTTCCTGGTAACCTCTCCTACCATGCCCCGTTTCCACGCATCGATTACTCGTCCCGCAGCGGCTTCCCCATACCGCCTGCAAATAGCTGGCACCATGTCATCGGCGAGCCCCATCTGGATTCTGATCCGCTCCGATGTGACCGACTTCACTCCGCTGCACGATGGGGTTCGGCAGCCATGCCATGTCACCAGCGCGGATAGAGAGAGGTAACGAGAGAGAGAGAGAGGGAGAGGGAGAGAGAGAGGGAGAGAAATATTTTGGACGGTGTAGCAAAAAGACACCGGCGACCAACGGGTTCTCATCTCAGAAACAAACACTCTAGACGCTTTTGCTGTGCCCAATCAATACTGTACATACGTGGCGTTTGCTTGGGAAGATGAAACGCCGCGTCATAGCAACTCAAACACAAGATGTGCACTTCGATGCTGTCTTACCTATTTGCCAGCTGTTGATGGGAGGGAAGTAGTCAACATTACACTAGAGCGAAGATAACGGCGTCTTGCTCACAGACATCACCCAAACAGCCCAACAGCAGTCCACAGAGAAATTGCATGAACCCAAATATTGAAACGGTCCCGTGGTTTCAAGATTGATCTATGCATAGCAATCAGCAATTGCAACCCGACCTTCTTTCTCTGTCGCTGTCTGTGACATAAATACCCCCACGATGTTGACCGCTGTTTTCTATAAGTACGTTGTATTATGAACCAGGAGTGCCCGCCCGTACCCTGTACTAGATATAGATAGGGCAGGGCGGGGTAATGAGCCGCGGGGTAGCCGACTCAATACTTTGCAGTAGTCTATCTGCGATGCTTTTTGTGGTGGCGAGTGCACCCGATCGTTGAATTTTGAATCCAAGTCATCATCAACAACAACATAAAAAGAGGCTCTTCCTCCTCTGTCTGCAACGAACGAACGGCCGTTGGGATTCGTGCGCATACAGCAGTATACCGTAGATGGTACAAGACACCACACCCTGGACCAACTTCCAAAGCTCGGTTGCTCCACACCACAAAGAGTGGCGGTGCTGAAAGTGGTGGTGTGGGGACCGTCTCGTCGACAGCTTTCCGACAACGTCTCGCTGGGTTTACGCATCCTCTTCGTCGTGGAATGCTCGAGCTTAAAAACAGGGAGTGGGTGTGGTATCTCATGTCACAGACGGTAAACCTGTGCACCATACGTGGGTTCCATATCGGTTTGGTCTTTCGGTGGTTTCTCTGCACAGAGTGTCGCAGCAGCACTTGTGAAGCTATTCCTCGCGACCTGTGTTTATGCCACGTCTTGTGTGGCGGCTGATAGAGGCCACGGGGCCATAGGACCCACGGAAATTGGAGGTGGTGAGAGTCGGCACAGAAGTGCATGAGAACATCCCGCCAAAGGAGGCTCTTCTTGTCGAGCATTTTATTCCTATGACACAGCTTTTTGTTTCAAGGTGACCCCTCTCCCCGCACACCGAAGCAACGGCAATAACAAAGGTACCGCCACGGGCTGTGTCCATGCTCCGTCTTGTGTGGTGGTTGATACAGACCACGAGGATCTAGGACGCTCAGAATTTGCGAGCCGGAGAGTGTGGGACAGCCCGAAAAAAAACCGCCGCGTCTGCTGGGGTCAGTTCGTATAATTTTCCCCCAGGTTTTTACTTAATGGTCCCTCTCCATACACACGTCTAAGCAACAGCAATGGCAATGGCATCCGCCACTAGCTCTGTGTATGGCTATCTTCCTCCGCCAGTGCTGTCTTGTCAATCCCGGCGGTGTTGCGTGTTTCGCTACGTGCTTCTTCTGTTTCTCCTGGTGTGAACCAAGCAACCGCGTGTGTCTGGGTGGGAGATCTACGACGCCTCGCCTTGCATTTTCTCTACAACTCCACGGGGATGGGGTAACAATCTCCTGTGTTTTTTTGGCACGAATGCCGGTGAGGCACGGCCATCTGCTGTCGGGGCACGAGCCAACCGGTGTGGTGAAGAGCGCCCTATTTTTCTTGTTCCTCACATGCCAGCAGATCGGCAATCGGTGCTCTATAGAGCTCGTGCTGGTCGAAAGCTCGTGCTGGTCGAAAAGGATGGAAAATTCAGGCGGTCGTTTATTGAAACCTGGTCCACTGGTAAATAGAGCCTGTTTTTTCCCTCCTCGGACGGAGGAAAAGAACGGTCGCGCTTCGCGCTCAGCGGCTCGTGAAAAGACCGTTCTACTGCTGTAAATTGCGAAGCGCTTGAGCTGCTGCACCGAATTGTACGCACACACAGACTTTCCAATGGTTCGAAACACGATCGCTGGGCATCTGTCAGGGAGGCACCGGCCATAAGTGTGACGCCGTATCTACAGCAGCCTCTCCTACCAACAGCGGTAGTTTATCTGATCGGTACAGTACGTTGTCTCGTCTCTGTACTACAGCAGTAATTGTATCATGGTAGGTGCTACTGTAGCAGTACATGACTGTATACAGCACAGCAGTTTATGGAAAAAGACACCATGCATGCTGCCCTGCTAACGCTATCCGCTGGCCACAGTAAAGAATGCAAGTTGTGTAATCAACCAAGATATACATCTCAACCTTCACGTGAGTTGCGCTCCTCGTCGCCGAGATGGGTACTGCTGTACGCGGTGTAAGTGTGCCAGATATCATGTGTCAGCCGATTCAAACCAATGCGGTGCTACAGCAGTAGGTTGTCGATTGCTGACTCACCTTCTGCTTTGCAGAGTGGGCGAGTAGACAAAAGCTACGCCCAAGTGAGCCCATATAGAAAGAGCTACTGCCAAGCCGCGCGCCGTGCATGGCCATTCCATTTGTCTGGCGTGCGTGTTGTGTGCATGTGTGCTGGCTGCGAAGAAAGTGCGATGTGTCTCGCGGGGCTCCGTAGATCAGCGGCATATGTAGATTTGGCTGATCGATGATTGGTCAGAATTCCGAACCCAGAAAATGCGGTGAAATATGCACAGGTAGTGATTTGTATTTCGTTCCATGCAGGCTGGTGGCTCCTAATATAAGGAGATCGTTTGCTCATGAACGCATTGGTCAACCCTTATGATCTCCCCAACAAGTTCTTTTGGGTTCGAATCCCGGCGACCTCGGGTGCCCGTTCGCCTACTTTCGTACTTCCTGTTTTTTTTTAACGGACACAACTTGTCGAAGCCTTTCTCTTACATGAAGGTTGCATCGCCCGAGGAATTCCTCCTCTTCTAACCTCCGGACAATTATTTTCCGTGTGAGAGGGTAAAACAAATATGCAAGCTCTGTACATAGGATAGGACGACATAAAAGCAAAGTTCGGAACGCTGGAGAAAGTTGAGCTTTTCCGTGCGACTTTGGCGCCGATATACTTAAATAAGCAGAAACCTGCAAAACCCAGGAACCGTCCACGTGTTGTTTATCATCTGTTCATTCCTCTGCTCTTGCAGTCTCTAGAGTTCGTAGGCAACGCAGAGGCGATGCCCGGGCTTATTAAATCCAATTGCAGCAGCCATCTGGCAAGTGCCGCCGTAAGGAAACATGCCGCAATAGGCTTATCCAACAACCAACAACGCGATGATCCCCGTATTTAGCAGTCAAACCTATGCATACATGAAATCACCAATATATTCAAGGATCAAGGTGAGTTGTACACCGCCATTCGGTACTCACAACAATCCCAACCTGTCTGTATCATCGCATAGTTTTCGCGGCCATCCACGCGTTGCACAGCCAACCAGACACTAGAAAACGAGCCGCAGCGGACGCGGGCATTCCGTGCGCCAACAACAACCGAAGGTGTGCGATGCTGTCTACATACTGCGCACTCCCCAAGCAACAAAGCAATTTCCAACCACAAAAAAGGCCATGTTGTACGTAACATAACGGTGAGCACCAGCGACAAGGGTCAAACGGGTCCACGTCGTTCAACCGTCCTTCCCGAAGCCTCCGTGAACGTTATCGACAAGTGCAGTACCTCGTCACCTCGTCTTTGGTGCGTCTACAGGGATATCGACAACATCCAACTCGTCATCCTGGCCTGAAGGAAAAGCAAAGATGAGTGAGAAAAGCCCATAAGTTGCGGCCCCTTGTGCCATACCTTGTGGCCCCTTGGCTCTGTTCATTAACGCGCACGAGACAAGAGGAGCAGGCAAAACGGAGTTTGGATTTTTCTCAGCCACCACACGGCAAGCGGTCGTGTACGGTCGATCGATACTGGTAAACAGCAGTACTGTAGATGTAATCGACCATGAGTGCTCATTGTGGTATGAGTCGAACAGCGTCCTTTGTGCCTTCAAGGTGACCATGTACTTCAGTTTTACTCTTGGAACCATACGTAATTCACGATTTTTTGTGTACTTTGGACACACAAAAGCGAATCAACGTATGTACTTTACCGTTGCAAGACTTAGTTGGACTTTTGCCAAGCGACAGCCTTTCTGCCGGTAGCAGGACCCTGGGTAACTCGGCATCTACAAAAATAAATCATTTAGGAAAGAGAACAAAGCTGGGAATAACCACCCTTTTGCTCAGACAAAGTGGGTACTCGAAAAATTGTTTTTTTGAGGAGGTCACACAAACAAACCTCACATTGTGCATTGCTAAGTACTTCGTATACGAGGAGATGTGAGTGCGGTGCTGACCTGTTCAAGAAGGCACCAGCCCCACAAGCCCCCAGCACCTGGTCCCATTTGTCATTCCTGGAAAAATCAGGAGACTTTCGTTAAGACTACTAAGCATGCAATCAAATAAATGGTGCATCTGATACTCGTCTGCATCAGAAGCTCGCTAGAGCTGAAGTCCGAGATACTGCCGCCCATTGACCAGTACACCATTGGATGAGGAAGGTAGCAGTACTCCGGTCGCATTCATATTTGTCCCAACGCGCGCTACAGCAGACACGTTAAACTCAGGGGCACAGGGTTTCCTTTTCCGAACAAGCTCAACGCAAGAGCGCTCCAATGTACACCGCTCGTGGATGCTTGCCACGAGTTGCCAGTGTTAAAATGGAAATGTTGCGCACCTTCCTCGTATGACCGTGGATATCGATGTGAACCCGGTAAAGGCAGCCGACAACTGCCCCCAGTTGCCACCCATCTCGACTGCTTTTGTCTGCACGCTTTTAAGCCAACCCACGTCCGGGACTCGTCCAAAGCTTCCACCCATGACCCCTCCGATCACACACCTGAATGCAAGCACGGTGTGGAGGCAGAGAATTGCGATGAACTTCACGCATCTACCATGGATTGAAGGAGTTGCGAGAAGAGAGAAAATAAATAGATGAAGCGCGCTTGAGTTCCTGCGGAATGGAACACCAACTGGAATACCGCCAATACCGCCAAAGGGACACGCCGTATCGGCAACTTAATATTGACTACGAAGCTGTCGTATATACGGTACCACGGAACACAACGCCCCGCATTCTGTTGTACATACCCCATGATGGTGCCTCCGATAAACGACTGCATCGTGGTCAAGCACGCCTCCATACAATTCTCCATTACGCCGGACGCCGTCCTTCCCGTTGTCAAGTGCGAGGTGGAAGCAACAGCAGCTGCCACGGGAAACTGCCTGTTTGCAACACGGGAGCGGCTTGGTGTAAGTGGCGAACCGGCAACGCCTTTGAGCATACATGCGCGCATTGGCAATGCATTAGCGCCATTCTCTTGAGACTCTTGGCGCGCTGGCGTTGTTGTGCAACAGAACCAACAATGGATGCTTGTTTGCTTATTTTTTTGCCTACTTGTCGCAATAACCATTTCCTCAAGTCAAATGTGTTTCAAGGAATCACGAATAGTCTTACACATTCGATCGCAGCAGTAGTGGGGGGCGAGATGGTACTCTTCCGCTCCACAGCAACCACCCCCCGATGCATACACAACATGGTCGACGCTATGTACACACACCTTACAAGTACAATGTACATATCTGCCAAGAGAGCTGTAGTTGCAGACAAGAGTTCAACAGGCACAACTGCTACGTTGCCCACCATTTGGTAGCTTAGTTGCATACAAGGAGTTGAACCAGGTGCAACTGCTGCGTTCCCCACCATCAAAGGACACATGAAGAAGAAAATAACAGACGGTAAACCCGTTGCATGGGTCGCGGCGTGCGGGTGATACCGCCGCACCTTCGTAGTGTTCGTGTTGTTGGCGTACGAGATGTCCAGGCCAAGCCATGGTGTGGTTGAACCGCAGCGCCGACTGAGTTCCTACTCCAGCCTGGCAGAGCATTGCACCCCAATGCCACAGAAAGCAGCAAGCCTTGAAGCAACAGCCGGCAATACGCCATGTTCAATCAACTGACGCGTGTGATGGTGAGTGTCCGACAGGATGAAACAGAGATGACCTGGCACGATCTGGGCTATATCTCGGCAAGGGGGCACCGTGACACGAAGCACAAACATGAGTGAGTGAGTGCCTCCGCGTCTCGCCAGACGCTCAGCTCCGACCGTCGACCACGCACAGCACGGCAGCACAACTATACTGCGCCCGGGGGGTGCTGTCAACTACCTCAGCTGTCCAACATGCACCGCAATCGAGCTTTCTTTAAGAAAACAAGGAAGGGCAAGATCCTTCGTGTGGTCTCGGACCACTACTTGCGGGATGACATCGGTTGCGGCTCCCTTGCTGGCAAACCAGTATCAAACGTGAGCACAAACGATTGGTAGACTATCACAGCGCCCACGCCGCGACAGCAGTGCAAGCCTGGCTCGCTGTTCACTGTACAAGGGTCTACAGTTCAACATTCCTGTAAGGACGACGGCCACAAGAAGCCAGCGTAGCACACAGCCATGCACAAGTACAGCACCGTTGAGCCGCTGAAGCTTTGATGGCCGTACACAGCGCCGCAAAATGACAGTCCCGCCGGACAGCAACAACAGGGGGCAGTTGGCAGTTCAAATTTACAGGCGAAGGGTCGGTACTAAAGCTGTGTTGTGGAGACTTATAATTTGCGTAGAATTGACGCGTTGACACCAGCCCCTGCTTATACCGACCGTGCCTGGTCCTCCCTCCCTTATGTTTGAAACAGGACAATCTGGTGCAACTTGCCCAAGAGTCGGTGATGAAGAGGTTCTTGGTGAGAAAAACGACTACAGTCGGCGGTCCTCTGCAAGCGGTACCCTGAAAAGTGGAATGCCCTGAATGACGGTACCGAAATCGCTTGGCATAAATGCATCTCTCAGTACAATCTCTATTAGGAATAGCGGCACTGCCCTGAATAACGGCACCAACACCTCTTGTCACTCCCTACTGCTATATAGGACTAGTATTTTGTAGTAGTGGCTCGCATGATCAGTATCGCGTGTGGAGCGCGCCCGTCGATACATAGGAGGGACGGCAGCGACAGACAGCATACAATAAATTTAAGAGAGGAAAATCAGATAATGTGCGGATGTTCTGTATGGTTTTGCAGTGCGTTGTCATGTTGGTATATCCTTTCTGATCTCTATGAAGTACTTGCCCTTCATTACGAAGTACACACATTTGTTTTTCAACGACCTTGACATTCTAACGCTTACGAGGATGCGTAGATAGAGGACTCCATTTAGAATTTCGTTGCGGTCGTGGCTCTGGCGCTGGTATATGACGCTGAACGTTTCGCCTTGCTGCCCGCGTCTTTTGTCAGGTTCTGGACACGAACGTGGTGCTGAACCAGATGGACTTGCTCGAAAACCCAAGCCCGGCACTGTCGTGTGTGGTCGTCTTGCAGACTGTGATGCAGGTAGTTGTTACATTACACTCTTCGTTCGCACGGCGTTTGTAGCTGAAGCAGCAGCAGCATGGCAGCAACACTGGACCTTGACAAAACATGATGACACCATGGCTGCGATGCACTTCAACCTCTGTTATACAGTGTCCCACCCTCTACAGGATATGCGCGCCACTTAAAAAACTTTCATGATATCCCTGATGTACAGGAGGCCCGCCACAACAATCTGAGCCTGTTTCGTCGGCTGAAGCAGCTGCTGAAGGACGATTCTCGTGTTTTCGTCTTCTTCGCCAACGAGCACCACTGCGAGACTTTCCCCGAAGAAATCAAAGGGGAGTCGCCCAACGACCGAAACGACCGGGCCATTCGTATCGCCACGTCTTGGTGAGCCGAGAGGATTATTATTGTTTGAAGAATTGGGGTAGTCTTCCTGCTTTACGGGCCACGAGGTGTCGAAAGTACCACGCTTTTCATATGTTTCCTGTATATGCTTGATTCAGGGCGTATTGACGACGCGAGACATCTCTCGCAATTTCCATGTGTAGCTGTGCTCCGGGAGCCTGTCACGTCGGTCCTCTCTGAACTCCGTCTGTCACTGCTTGTTCCCACAGGTTTTCCAAGCAGTTTGGCGACTCGATAGCTGTGGTGCTTTTGACGAACGACAGAGCTAACCTCTCACTGGCTCAGGATGCCAAGATATCAGCGATGACCATTCATGCCTACGTCGAGTCGGTGCGGGGACAGTACCCCGATTTAGCCGAACTCCTTGCTCCCGAGGAGTCATCTGCTGCGGGCGACGTTAGCGAGTCGAATCGCGGCAACCCACCGCAGAGGAGAACAGGAGGCCAGCGGGTTCTTCTGTTCGAAGAGCACAAACCCATGTCTGAACTCACGGCAGGAATTCGACAAGGCCGGTAAGTTGCTTGCTTTATATCCGCCCTCTCTGTGCGAAGTAAGGAGATGCTGGTGTATACGCCCTACCTTGGTGTGCCCTCTTTTATTCCGCGTATTCCCTTGGCTGACCCCATGCAGGTACTTTCAGGGGGCCCTGCGAGCGGAGCGGAGCAGCTCGAATCGGTGCTATGTCGTGGCGCAGGGCATGCAGGTGCGTGGCATTATTGAGGCATACGCGTTGTGAGTCCTTAGTAGCAAGCGGGCATGTGTGGAACGTTGTGTCTACTAGAAGATGCCACCGCCTTGCTGGTAGGGAGTTGTCGCTCTTTGGTGTACAGCCAGCCACCCAAGAGCACTATGCTGTTGGAGCTCTCTATGGACCTGCTTTTCTCGCGAGGGCAGATGACGGAAATCATACTATTCGTACCAAAGGTAAAAAGATGTAATTGAGTAGCATGGCCGGTGTAACCCAGGCGGTGAATACACCCCCCGATCTACAAGGATATACACTTTGCCTTTGATGCTGTCTAGATTGGGATGGCGTGCCGAACGAGAGTGATCGGCTCTAATAATAGGTACTTCTATTTCATTGTTTTGTAAATCTCCTGTTGCCCGATATGCCACCAGTGACGTCTGAGTACTGTCTGGCTCGGGTCCTTGTACTCTCATTTTTTTTTTGCGCTCAACTATTGCGTCTGAGATGTTTTTTCCGAACATTTTTTCTCCATATACAAGGGTTCTGTAGAAGTGTGTAGCCGTTTCGGTCGCAGTTGACCTGTGACAACGGAAGGCGTCCGCGTTAGTTGGACCTGTACGGATGTTACAAGGTACTGAGCAGAGACCGGATCGTTTTTTACAGTGAAGGCAACAACAACACCAACAATGGCGCCTTTGTGAGACATCGTAAGCTCAGCGACTCATGTTATGTGCAAGAGCTGTTTGTTTGCCTCGACCAGCACCAGAACGGATTTGTGCATTATCAGAATCATTGTTGATGACACCATGTACCCTCTTTTCTTCCTTTCTCTCTCTTCTCTCTCTTTCTCTCCCCCCCCCCCCCCACCCACACAAAAATTTCCCCCACAAAAAAAAAAAAACCAAAACAAAAAATTTATCCCAAATATTTACAA